AGTTTTCCAAAGAAAGATTGAGAACAATGATCATGTTGCAATTTTAATTATAGGAATCTACATGGTACTTTTTTGGTCAAAGGTTTTGTAGCATTAAAGAGTTGGCTTTTCCATATGTTAGTAATCTCTGCCCAAGGTAAATTATTCTTTCCACTGGACAGAGGGATGCACTGAGGGCCAGACAGGTGAAAAGACTAAGCCCCAGGGCTAAGGAAGTCATTGGAGAAAAAGCTTCAGAGCGTGGGAGGGGTTCTTGAGCTCCCTAGAGCTAGCAATCCTGATGAGATAGATGCAGTATCAGAATAACAATCTGAGCTCTGGGGGGAGAGGGGGTCAGTGTGTTCTGTCACACATCTAAGGAAATCATCTAGTTTTCCTTCTTAGAGTTTCAGAAGCAAAACCAAGAAATGACTGAAATTAGGGCTAATTTTCTAAAAGGAACCCCACTGCTTCTGGTCCAGAGAAATGCCTCCAGATCCACCTATAGATAACACACGTGCTTCATTACGCCTGACCGCAAGTGGCTCCTTCCATTAACCCAGACAGGCAGACACAAACGTATTTAGTGGAATGCAGTCTGGGCCCTGTGAGCCCCAGGGAGTGGGGTGCTGGGTCGGCTTTGGAGTATACCACTTATGACTCAGTTCCCATGTTGCCTATCCATGGCTAGGCAACTCAGAGGGTTTGAAAATGGTGATGCTAAGGCCAAGCTCACAAGTCCCAAGGCTGGATGCCTGGCCAAGTGTTGAGCATTAGTGATGGGCAGAATCCAGCTATAGTATCTGTCGTTAATCATCATTTGTTGAATAGGGGGAAAATCCTTCTAAATCCACCCCCTGGCCGAACAAAACTGACCCAAGGCCCATGCTTTACCAACAGGAGTCAAAGGCATGATCGTCACATAAAAGGTCTGTATTGGATGTATTAGAGCCCCAACACTCCACTGTTCTCAGTTCAGGGAGTATCTCAAGAACCTCAGATCCTCTCAGATTGCCAACAAGTCCTACTTCACCTGCTTTCATGAGACAAGATCCTATACCGAAGTCATGCAGTAGTTCAGCTAGATCTAAAACCAAATCCTGGGGCTGGCCTGGTGGCGCAGCAGTTAAGTTTGCACATTCTGCTTTGGCGGTCTGGGGTTCACCGGTTCAGATCCCAGGTGCAACCATGGCACCACTTGGCATGCTGTGGCAGGCGTCCCACATATAAAGTAGAGGAAGATGGGCACGGATGTTAGCTCAGGGCCAGTCTTCCTCAGCAAAAAGAGGACGATTGGCAGCAGATGTTAGCTCAGGGCTAATCTTCCTCAAAAAAAAGAAAAGAAAACTGTAAATAAAATGGAAGCAGACCTTCAAAAAAAATCTTTTTTTTCTGCTTTTTCTCTCCAAATCCCCCCAGTACATAGTTGTATATTTTAGTCGTGGGTCCTTCTAGTTGTGGCTTGTGGGACACCGCCTCAGCATGGCCTAATGAGCGATACCATGTCCTCGCCCAGGATCAGAACCTGCAAACCCCTGGGCCTCCGAAGCAGAGTATGCCAACTTAACCACTTGGCCACGGGGCCGGCCCCTAAAATCAAATCCTTTTAAGCATCTCAAAGTACTTTGTGAAGATTACTTTCCTAAACCACACCCACCCACATCCTCACATCCACACATGCATTCATGCACAGCATACAAGCAGACCTTGGGACTGTATAGATTAAAGTAGTATTAACAAAGGACAATGAACCCAACCATTAAGGCTTGTAGAAAACATCTGTACACAGACTGGTTTAACAAACTCAAAATCAGGTGCAATTATTTTCTGTTGGCTTAGAGATAAGGTTTATCCAAATTTATTTAAAAAAAATTAAAGGATTAAACTTTCTAGGTCTCTCCTAGAAGCAACTACATAGTTGAAACTCAGTTTCATTAACTCCTTAGCAGACGTCACGAACGTCAGCAAGGTAGTAGAAACTTGTAAATAGGAAGCTTTTAGGTCAAAATTTGTTTCAGGTGACTACTTAAAAGGTTAATAAATCTACTATTATGCTGGACTGCTATTGGGGGACAGGGCTGGCATTCTCTTGAACCTGTTCTAAACATTGAATTCTCACCTAAACTAATTTTTACCACAGTTTAATAACTCGGTCTACTGTTAAACAATCATTTAAAAGGTCCACTGAAAGAAGGCAACATCTTTTCTGATATTTCTATCAATTCTCAGTTGAAATTCATCCTAACGAGCATATCAATTAGCTTCCACGGTTTAAACGCTACTGTCTTAAGAATATGGTGTTTGTCTTTTTTAGAACTTCTCACATTTTAGAGTGATACACTTAAAGTATAAAAGTATTCACAAGCCAGGCCTACAACTTTAAAGATGAATAAATGGTCCATGTCCTAGAAGCTTTAGAAATGAATCTGATCAAGTAGAAAACTAACTTATCTGGGCTACAATTTTCTTAAGTTAATTTGTGTAAGGATCTAAAAGGATTGTAAAATTTTATACCCATTTTTAGATGACTCAGAAAAACAAAGAATGAACCATGAATCACTATGTTTGAAATATTTCATTAAAAACCAGCATGAGTCTCTGAACTTTTTCCAAAAGGTAAGGGTGTGGCTTTCCAAAGGAAAGGTGACTTATCTTCCGCATCACACCCCGCCAGCTAAGGAAGGTGTCCAGACAGGCAGAGCACCCTGGCCTGTTCTACGAGATCTTTACCAGCAAGTTTTGTTTCTCCCTCTGGGTGAGGGTATGTCTCCCTCTGCCTGTCTCTTATTTCTGCAAGACTCAACCTTCAAGAAAATTTTTTTTTTAAAAAGGTAAAATATTGCACCCCCAAACCAAACCCTATACACATTCAAGTTCACTGAAGGAACCAGGAAGTGGTCACTAAGGGAAATTCGCCTTCTTACCTCATAACCGCCACCTTCTTATAAAACTCACTTGTGTACATGCTCAGACTCCTAACAATGGGTCTTCATTTCGGAATAAAGTTTGGGATTTTAGCTCATGGAGGCTAAAAGTTCCTCCACTTACTACAACTGACTCTAGTAGTACAACTGGCTAGTTTACTACCTCTTGGCTTTCAAGATCTATTAAAAAAAATACACACCCACACAGGGATGACATATGTCATAAACGTTGGATGTCAGTAGGAACTACACTTGTTTGGGTAACACATTCTACTTTCCCTTTTTACGGGTGTGCTTTTATCATATGTCGCAACAATGAGAAAAATTAAGAAGACGACTTTAAAATAAGACTGTGCATGACATTAACTGGTAAAAAAAAAATCACTAAGTCAGAATTTGAAAGCTGGAAGGAACCTTAAAGACCATCTTACAGATTTTAGTCATTCTCCTCTGTTTTACAAATGAGGAAATGGACGTCCATTTGAGCTTCCGTCTAACACATATGTTTTAGACAAAACATACAGTGCTGTGTACAGGAATGGAGATGCGCACCAACGGTAACTGAATGCCTATTATGATCGCGGACTTAGATAAAGCAGCTCGTTTGAATTCTCACAACAACCCAGCACAGTAGCTTTTATTATTCATTGTGTAGATGGAAAGAGACACAGAGGTTCTGGGTAATATTCCCAAGGCCACACAAAGTGAGGGAGTGGTAAAGCTAGGATTCAAAACCAGCTCTGCTTGCCACCAGAGACGCCATTTAGAACACAGCACATGGCTTCTTTTTTTTCTTTTGCAAGAGGGGGACAGGAGGAATGGCCAAGCAGGAAACACAAGTTCTGCTTCCTCCTCCCTCACACACATCTGATGGATCTGATCTAAGGAGAAGTCACATCAACTTAGCTTTAACGTCTTCATCTCTAAAGTGAGCGGGAAGGGCTAGATCTCTAAGCCCTGTGACTCTTTTTTAAAAACCCAAGAAATGGACTCTAAGCAGACTTTCCTTCCACCGGCTCCCGGGAGCCTATAACACCCATTCGGTGTTCTTTCTTCCGTGAGTCATTTTACTTCTGGTGGCTGTATGGAGCATGACATCTCAAACACTGTGGCCCTCAAAAACACAGCCTTTCTGAAAGAGACAGTAGGGCCTAGCTGACCTCTTCCAAACTCTAGTCCAGCCTGTTCCACAGATGGGTGAAGAAATGAAGTTCAAGGAGTCAGTTGATCTTCCATAAAATGTTTAGAGAGGTGGCTAACTTCCTTTCTAGGTCTAACGGATGGTAACTACTGGTTGCTTATGCTGTGATCTTCCTGCATTAACTCCTCTTTCTAGAAAGTCTGCAACCCAGCCAGAAAAATTTTTTTTTGGAGGAAGATTAGCCCTGAGGCTGCCGCCAATCCTGCTCTTTTTGCTGAGGAAGACTGGCCCTGAGCTAACATCTGTGCCCATCTTCCTCTACTTTATATGTGGGATGCCTACCATAGCATGGCTTGCCAAGTGGTGCCACGTCGGCACCCAGGATCTGAACCGGCAAACCCTGGGCCGCTGAAGCAGAACGTGTGAACTTAATTGCTGTGCCATTGGGCCGGCTCCCCCAGCAGGAAAATCTTAATAAAGGCAACAATATATTACTGACCTAGCTACCCAATTAATATTTGTCAATAAGTGTGATAGTACTCTCATAGTATGCGGAACCCTCTGTAACCAGGTGCGTGATCTCATTTGGCACTGAAATGCCTTCTGGTCTCTGTCAGGGCAGGTTCCAAGATGGGCATTCTGCCTGCTGTTGCCAGGGTGTGGAGCATGCTGAATGTGGAGTGGGGCCCTGACTCTTACTGAATGTCTACTACCTGCCAGGCACTGGGCTGTACACTGACTTTCACACCCTCTTTTTGAGATGAGGAAACTGAGGCATGGGGAGATTTGCCTAAGTTCTTATTTCTAGAAGCAGTGGAGACAGGATACACTCCCAAGTCTGCTCTCATTCCAGAGCCTATGTTAAACTACTCACTACAACCATTCATTTTGCCCAATAACTAGAAACAAAAGGGGGAGGGGTGCTGATGTTTCCACCAGTGACCCAGGTTACTTACAGTTTGGCTCTCTTGCCCACACATGGTTATGCAGAGACAGCGAGTGGGCCACATGAAGTGGCGTTCAGAGGCCACAGGCCTGAACTTAAGCATTTTATATTCTAAGGTGGGTCCCTGGCTGAACACCAGCCAACATTTAGAAGACTGATTCTGCCTTAACCCAGAAAGCAGGAGAGCTCTGAAGCTTCAGTCAGGAGAGTCACCTTAAGATTGAGTCCCTAAAATCTGCTTCTGCTGGGAAATACTTCCTGTGGCACCAAGTTCTAGCAGGCTGCTTTTTCTGAGAGAAAGCCCACCCATACTAGGCAGAGATCAACCAGCAAAGGTTGCCACCTGAGGGTGCTGAAAATGGTACCTGGCCCCACATTGTGCCATGTGCAGACATGTAGCCACTGTGACATCACCCAGGCAAGAGGCTGGCTTTTTTAGGGACTAAAAGCAAAAAGTGCTTGTAAGGATCAGAAGGAAGAGCTGGGGAAGAGAAGGAGAGAACCAGTATTGCAGCTGCACCAGGCTTCAAGGACGGAAGCCGTTCAGCTTTCAGGACTCTGCTGATCCCACTTATCCCAGGCACTATAAGTGGCAATGCAAGAGCACAGCCTTGGGAGGAACGTGGCTGGAGTGTGCTCTACAAGTCCACAGCCCCTGCCTACCAGGTGACGGGCTCCCTGGCATCTGTTGGAAGGCTTTGGGGATGGATGGGAGGCTAGTGCTTCATGGAATGAAGACTGGGCCTGGAGTTAAGAGGCCAGAACTCTACTCCCAGTCCTGCTGCTTGCTAACCTCATAATTTCCGGCAAGACAGTTACCCTCCCTGAGCCTCAGAGTCCTCATCTACCAAACAAGAGTGGAGACTGAGCTGACTGCTAACATCCCTTGCAGGGCTGAGATTCTGATTCCTCTGTTCTCAGGAACAAATTAAACATTTTCTTTGTTAACTTCTCGAATTTTATATTTTTACCAAAAGCATCCCTTAACTTCTTTTCCCCATTCTTTGTTAATACTCAAAAAGAAACCCATCACTTAGAAACTTTCCTGAGCACGTGCAGTTTCTTTAGTCAAGTATGGCATGTATTACCATTTCCTTTTGTTCATTCATTTAATTGTCTTCAGAGAGGAAAAAGCACTATCAAAATACATCAAATATTACAAAGTGGTAAAAGAAGTCTTAAAATCCAAAGTTAAACATGACCATTTTTCAATGTTTAAATATTTATATATCTAGGATCTATTCTGAGTTTTACAACCAGGTAAGATATGCATTTTAGGGTAAACAGAGGCTGAGAGAGGTGAACTGACTTGCTCGAAGTTACAAAGCAAGTTAGTGGCAAAGCCCAGATCTTTGGAATAGACACCGAATACTCTTTTCACCCTAGATCTTTATCTTCTTAACCAACCTGCCTTTCTGAAGTCTCTGCTACTCTTTCTCGGTTTAGAAATTCACACTTTGTACATAACAAAGTAAAAACTTATTGCAACAGAACTGTGGCCAGAACTGTACTGGTCCCACTAGGCTCATTTTCCTAAGGTGAAAACCTGATCCCCCCCAAAGGCATTCTATCCCCACTGACCCTGAAGAGGAGATATTCATGTCTCAGGCAGCTCAGAAAATCCACTTCTCTACATACCACAAAAGCTACAGTTTGGAGACTAGGAAAAGATGGAGTTTTCCACACATTCCCTGGATGAAAGATGGAAGTAGGTGGGATATGCAACTATAGCCTTCTCACCTTCACAGACAAGAGCCAGGAATGACCCAGTCATTTGTTTCTGGAATCTTCTTCTGAAGAGGAAGGTAAATGATTAAAAAATGCAAAATCAGGGGGAAACTAGAGGCAGCATGGCATTAGCCTCCCTGCCCCCAAACAGGTCAATATCCAGATACCATTCCTCCATTTCTGCTTCACACTCTGTTACTTTCTGTGGCTATTAAGGTGTGCACGTGTGTTTAAATATTTCCAGATTTGCTAATGAGGGTATGTGATCCCCCTTTTCTTACACATGCCCTAATGAGAGACATAGGAAGCACCCTGCCACTCTCTGAAAATGAAATACACGTGAAGACCTCACCTCTCAGTGGGAATAAGCTTACCCATGTATTCCTATCAATTTTTCTACCACTAATCCCAAACTATAATTTCTAGAGCAGCAAGACAGACTCAGATCTGCTGGTCTGACTATCACAGGTTATTCATATTGAGTATTCTTTAAGACAAGGCAGACAGGACAAATGCAAAGTTTTTAAAGGAAACAGATCTACAGGGAAAACAGGAGCTCACTTTTGCTTTTCTGGGGTGCTGGGCTAATTGTGAAAATGCAAAGGAAAAGGCCTAAAACTTGGCTACCTCTGTTTCAGACTGGGAGTAAAATGTTCCCTTGCTGGGCTTTTAAGAGCTCTCTGCAACTTCAGCACCTCGGACTCAGCACTGCCCTGATGACCTTCTGTAACCAGTTTTTATTACCTTAATTAACTAAGGCTAGGTGGGAAAGATTTACTCCATCTCCGTAATGTTATTGTTGCCTGCTAGCAGCTAGCAGCAGCTCTTTACCTCTAGCCCTTGATACCTGGCTCGCACAATTAGCACCTTATTATAGGCTGGCCTCCGAGTCTAATTACCATGCACCTCAATTGAGCACTTTATTTTATCGTCTTGTTCGTGCTCTAGTTCAAGTGCCTAGGCTCCCCAGCTATAATAAATCCTAAACTCCTTTTAGGCAGGCACGTGTTTTTAATTTCTCATCTCTTCAGACTCAGAAGAACACTAGGGACTCACAGGCATGTAAACAAATACAGTACTTCCTGACTGTCTGAAGAGCTTCTAGATGTCTATTCTAGCAGTAAGGCACATAGTTGGAATCTGGGTCTCCATGCCTATCTCAACTCTCTGTAGCAGATCCATTGGCCTTCTCTGCTGGTGAGGGCTCCCCTCAGCTACTCTGAGTTAAGCTCTACTCGGCCTGTATGTAACCTTTTCCCTTATCTAAAAGGATTGGTTCAAAGAGACATAAGAACCTCCCATTAGTACCATGTTCTACATTCTTTTACAAAAAGGATTCAAGGGATATGAGTTTATGCTTGAACAGACTCCTTGCTTTTGGAATTAAAACTAACAATAGCTTTTAGGGCAGTTACCAATTCCATAACAAACATAGGCTTCCTTCACTAAATACTCTGGTGAGAGGAATGGAGCCTGGGGAAAGGCTGCAGAAGGGAATGGTTAGGAATGCAGGTATGGGAGCCAGACTACCTGGTCTCCAATCCTGCTCTGCCACTTACTAGTTATGTGATCTGTGACCTTGGTTAAGACAATTAACCTCTGTGCACCTCAATTTCCCAATCTGTAAAGTAGGGATAATAGTACCTGCCTCATAGGGCTATTGTGGGGACTGAATCAGTTAGTCTCTGTAAAGCACTTTACAAGAGTGCTTGGCACATAATAGCTTACATAATAACAATGTAAGTTAGTGGTTAAATGAAACTATTATAATAGAGTACAGAAATTTAGAATAGACAGCCCTACAAAACAGTATGCCAACAAAAGAATCTGACCTGATGGAAAAACAAACTGGTTTAATAGAATAATGTGCCATCCTTGGCTTCTTGATTTTCTGGCTATCGTATCTCTTTGAATTGCTTCGCTAAACCAAAAAAGAACTCTGAATTTATGGGTTTAAAAAATGTCTAATGCATTATCACAACGAACATGATGAAAATGTTCTGGCAACACTGAAGTAGAATGATTAGTGAAGGTGTTATTGTTTTAGGAGAGAATTTAAAATAAACATTCTACTGTTTATGCTTCTCCTCCTACTTAGCCTAACCTGTCAGACGTCGTCCATAATATTATTTAGCAAATACTTCCCATCTTTCTCCAGTAAGGAACATTTAGCCAATTGTCAGGAGAATAGTTTAAGTATATAGTCTATATTTTTAAAGACATATTAAAAAATTTTTATGCAAAGATGATTCCACGGTATCCAAACTAAGACTTTTCTTCCCATGTCTTTTCTGATCTGTCCATCTGCTGCCATTTTTTAAAGCCTCAATCCCCTTAGCTATCCTAGCTACTAAAATTCCATGTCCAAAGGTCTCTCCTTTCTCAGCAATCTCTAGCACAAAATACCATTTCTAATATCAGCAGTCCCTTGTTATCTCATCACACAGAGGTCCTCACATAGAATCCAGGCATTCAGCCACACACCAAGGCATCTATGTGCCACAACAGGTGGGGAACCTGTGCTTTCCTTAGAGAGGAACTCTTCCGGCTTCAGCTCTCCCAGTTTCCCTGGAGGGCAAAGTCTAACCCTGCAAGATGTCTTCCCTGTAGGTGCACCTGTAGAGAACCATGTAGAGACCTAAAAAACAACTAATGCCCAGTCTACTAAGAAGTGATCATCTATTTTGGGTCTCAGCAGTTTAGTGCTTAAAAATGTGGGCAGGTACTTCCTCTCTGTACCCCCCTCTCACTGGTGCCACCATCATACTTCTTAACCACTGTGTTCTGTAGTTATGTTGGCCCAGGAGCCTTCCCCTCTGCCTGGGGAGCTTCTCTGGGCAGAAGCTGTGTCTTACTTGTCTTAGTGTTCCAAAGCTAGCACAACGCCCATCCTTGGCAGGCTCCCAATAGTTATCTGTGAAACTATTGAAGCTACTGCCTGATAAACACCAAACATTCTTTGGATGATCAAACTGTCAAGGGTTACTTTCACTTTTGAGAACACGGAGCTTCCTCAAAAATGGGACATTTGGAAAAGTCATCGGATCACATCTTTGCTTCAGTCACTTTGGGTTAACTTTCCCCATTTGGTACACATGACCCCTTTAAAATGTGTACCGTACCCTGTCTGCCCCGCCTTAATCGGCTGCTTCAGTGACCCTATATTCACCTTGCAGGTATCCTTTCTGGATATCCAAGGCCCATACTCCTACCCGGCCATCGCTGGGGCTGGCCTTTCTTCGGGCAGCTGTCCACAGCTCCCAACGATCACCTCATCAAGCCGGAACTTCCAGCCACCGCTGTGCCCCTCGCCAGCGCCGGTTACCAAGACTCTCCCTCTTACTCTCTTTGGGACAATGCTCTGGCGACCACCTGGGCCAAGGGGATCGTGCAAAGTCCTGGGTCAGCGTTCGGTCAACCCCAGAGACAGGGGGTGGGGAGAATCCCTGGGCCGGAGTGAGGACTCCTCGGGACTAGTGGGCAATCACTCCTGGCCCGGACACTTTCCACCGAGAAGAAGCTAAAGAGCGCTTCATCGCCTCTTCTCGTCAACCAACCTAGGGACCAGGAAAATGCAGGACTGGGGGCGGGGGAGAGCGAGGAGACAGTCCCCCGGGCCAATCACGACGTCCGCCTCTCCTCACTCGGGGTCGGTCTCTCTGTCGGACGGACGGACACACACACACACGCACGCACGACCAGCTACTTCAACTCCAGCTCCGAGCAAACTGCGCTGCCCGCCTCTCCCACTGCGAGTCCTCTGGCTCCGGCCCCAGCCCGCGCCTCTCACCTCACCCCAGTTTTTTCACCCAACGCCAGTTCCCCCTCCCAACTGACCGTGAAGCCGGAGGCAGTTCCCCAGTCCCAGGTCCCCGGTGGAGCTCCCGCCGCCGCCGCCGTCGCCTCCCCCGGCAGCCCCCGACCCGGGATCTGGCCTCGGGCTGCAGCGATGGCTCCCCGGCACGAGGCGCCGCGGCTTCCTGCACTCGGACAGATACGGGGCGGCGCGCAGGAGAAGCCCATCGAGCTCCCGGCGGCGGCGGCGGCGGCGGCGGCGGCTGCAGGAGCGGCCGCCGCGCAGCTTGATGACGCAGGGGCGCGGGGGGCGCGGTCGGCGCGGGGGTGACGCGGACGGATGACGTGCGGCGTGCCGGGCGGCTTGGCAGCATGGCGTCGGTGGCGTTAAGCGAGGCAGAGAAGGTGTACATCGTGCACGGCGTTCAGGTAGCTCCGTCAGCGGCGTCAGCGTCGGCCGCCGGGTTCCCGGGCCCTGCGGGTTGCTACCGGCCCTCGATTCTCCCGCGGGGAGGCGGCTGGGCTGCGGAGGGCTGGGTTTACCTCGTGACTAAATAGCTCGGCGGGCCGGTGTTTGCAGCCCGAAGCCGGCAACGCGGGCGTGTTTAGGACCGGGCGGTGAGCGTCCATTTAGGACTGTATGCGGGCTTGCAGCCTTAAGGGTCCACAAGGTTCCGAACCCCGGTAGGAAGCAGGGGGCAGTCCCTGAGGCTTTTTGTTTTAGCGAGGGAGCACCACCCCCAGGGCCTTCTCTTTGCCCTTGATGTGTCGCTTCACTGGACTGAGCCTCTCTTTTCTCTTCTAGGAAATGGGGATTGGAGGTGGGCATCTGGCCTGCTTTTCCTCACCTCGTGTTTGGGAGGCACAGGGAGAGAAGGCATGCGACGTGAAAGCGCTTTGAAAATATAAAAGCTCCTTACAAAGAGAGCGGGGGCGGGGGTTTAGTTTAAAAAGCGGCTCCTCGGCCAGTAGCATAATTATTGCTGTTTCCCATTTTGCCGGAGGAGAACTAAGAACCCCAGAGGCAGCTATAACTATACTAAGATCTTGCTCAGTCTTCAATCCCTGGTTTTGACCGGTCCAGAACGAGAGTCGGAGAATGTTGGGCCTGGTAATGAGCTACCAAGGAAAGCCAAGTATGTCCTTCCTGTCTGTAACCTCCCCAGATTAGAGATGTCTCCCACACGTCTGCCGAAGCCTACCCAGAATCCTTTTTTTCCCCTTGTAGACCTCATCCTGTTGTGTTTGTTTTTCACCTTTGGTCCAGTGTGGTCACTTTGAGCTTCTGGCGTCCCTTTTCCATCAGCCTTTGATTCCTTTTTTATTTCAAAGATGAATAAAATAAAGGCGATGGAATATAAGAAATATGCCAAAGGAGTGGTATAGTTAGTGGAGGTCAAAGGAGCTAAAGAATCCTGGGGGCTGTAATGCTTTGAATACTTCCCTAAGGAGGTGGAGTTGCTCCCCTAAATCCGTATCAAATGTCCCTCCTGTATCTTTTCGGGACTCATTCATTCATTCGTTCATTCATTCAGCCTAGGACTGAGCTAGACTCAAGGGATAGGAAAGAGCCTACCCTTATGTAGCTCCCATGCTAGAGGGAAGAGTCAGAAATTACAGATCTATTTGTGTGTTTATATGTAAAATTGTACTTAGTGCTGTGAAAGAAGAAAAATCAGCAACCTGATCTAGTCTGGGAGGTCAGAGGAGGCTTCAAATAGCGTTTGAGCTGAGCTCTCAGCATGACTAATTAAGCTTGAGCCTTCCAGAAGGAAGGAATGGTGAATCCACAGGCCCTTAGGTGGAGGAAGCATGGAGCCACAAGGGTGGGCTTGGGCAAATGGTGGAAGATTAGGTTGCAGAGGTGGCTAGAAGCCTGATCCTAGGGGTCTTAGAGGCTCAATCACTTCTTCATGGATCTTGAAAGGTAATAATTTCTTGACTTCTCTGTATGGTACTCTTAAGGCCCAGGCAATGTCCAGCACTTGACAAGTACTCAGTTAACGCTGAATGAGTAAGGTAGGCCTTAAAAGGGAGATGAGTTAGACAGTGTTTTCATTTTTTAAATTAAAGCTCTCACCAGTACCATGGACATATTAGGGCCACAGTTGTTGGTAAGTGCTCTGTTCTGTGTATTGCAGAGTCAAGCAGAGTAACTCCCTTTAAGTAAATCTCTTCATCAGGACTGTTAACGTGGCCACAACATTGTGGAGGAGGGAAACAAAATTCTGTATTTATGGAGGAGCAAAACAGAATTTACACCGTCTAAATAAAGATTAGAATGCAGGTGAATGAGCCTACCACAGGATCTCCACTGATTCAGTTCTAAAGTTGCCTAAACTTTTGTTTCGTTGATCTCTGAGTGCCAGCAGTGCACCTTAAGCCATGCCTAACCAGAATACTGTTATTGCCCACACAGACCTAATCATTTTTTGTTTTACTTTTCATCTTTGGTCCAGTATGGTCAGTTTCCGCTTCTGGCATCCCTTTCCTTTTAGCCTTTGATTCCTTTACTGTTTCAGGGATATTTCATCTTGTTTTGGTGGTAGTTAGAAGCAGTTGAAATTAATGTCGTGATGTGTGTTGAGGATTCAGTTGCTACTAATGGTAACCAACAGACTGGCTCAAGCAAAAAATGTATGTATTAGGAGACATACTCCACAGGGAGTAACTCTACCCCTAGGCCAAAGAGGCCAAGGGAGGAAATGGTGTTATCGATGCCAGTATTAGCTGGGACTGAGGAGGAAGAGTTGCCCAATAGAAGTTGTAGGCTTGGGTTGATGCAGGCACTGTCAGATGTGGCCACAGGTTAGAGGGAGAGGGAGAACATTGTCTGATCTCCTTCTGGTGTCTTCCATTGTCCATAAGCAACCAGAGGCCAGCAAAGGGAGTCCAGGTGATGCAGTTTTGGGGGAGTCAACCTGGTGCACAGATTAGGGCAGGGAAGGATGGAGAATGGATCTGAGGGGGTAGGGAAGGGTAAATGGGAAGGTTGATATATCAATATTTTTTTTCTTTCTTTCTTTTTTTTTTGTGAGGAAGATGGGCTCTGAGCTACTATCTGTTGCCAATCTTCCTCTTTTTTTCCCCTCCCTCCAAAGCCTCAGTACATAATTGTATATCCTAGTTGTGGATCATTCTAATTCCTCTATGTGGGACGCCACCACAACATGGCTTGATGAGTGGTGCATACGTCCGCACCCAGGATCCGAACCAGCTAACCCTGGGCTGCTGAAGCAGATTGCACAGACTTAACCACTCGGCCATGGGGCTGGCCCCAATAAATCAATGTTTTAATATATGATTTAATTGGTTGCTATTAAGTCTCCTCTCAGCCTTTGAAGATAACAGTCCTGAAGGTGAGTATTTAAAATAGTCCTGAAAGTAAGTATTATTATCTCTACTTTACAGATGAAGAGCTGAGCTCAGACAGGATAAGTCACTTGCCCAAGGTCACACAGGAAGTGTGTGGTGGAGCTGGGATAGAAATCCAGGTCTGTCTGATTGCAAAGTCCATGCTCAACTCTCACGCCACTTTCCCACTGCAGTGAAAGTCATTGTCTTCCCTTCCTTACATAGGGATCCAAAGGCAAAGGCCAGAGAGAATCCCCACTTCTTCTACTTCTCTTTCTTTCTCCTTTCCTCTGAAAGCATGTGGGGGAACAGAGAGGGGGAGGGGAAGTTCTGAGCCCTGCCCCCCGCCACCATTTTTCTAGACCTTAAATAGTATATGACATATATTGTTGTATTGTTATCTTTTAAGGTAGTATTTTTCCCAGGTTGGTTATAAGTTCCTTTAGAACCCTATTTTACATTTGTTTGTACAGGTTTTGTTTTACTAACTTGTTATCTCAAACTGTTTTTTTTCTCTGTTTACAATATTCAGGAATTTGGGGACAGATTTCAGAATTTCCAGAACTTAGGATTTATCCTCTTTCCAGGTTTTCTTAACTGCCCAGATGTGTGATTTCCTTGTCCATGAGATGATATTGCTAACCTCCATCTTAGCCCAGTGATTCTGAAGCCTTGAGGTGCCTTTTGCTCGCCCACAAAGTGCGGATTCCCAGACTTTACCTGGCCCTTCTGAACCAGAACCTCTGGGGCTGGGCCTAGGCCTGGGGCCTGGGAATGGATCTTTTCATAAAGTGTTGGGAGAGTTTGATGCAGCCACTAGACATTGGCCCATGGGCAAGCCATGGGCCTGGTCCAGCCCAGGTCTACTGCAGAACTCTCTGCTCCCTCCTGCCTGAGGTCGTGTGGTCTCCCACCTCTGTGTGACTGAGGACTTGGAGTGAGGCTGAGCAGGGTTCCTTTCCCAGTTCCACCATTCGCAGTGAGAGTGATTTTACCTGAGGAGCTGAGCTAGCTCCTCCTGTGTAAAATGAGAACATGTCCATCTAGGGGCAGAATGGGGAATGAAGAGATAAGACTTGAGTATCGAGCACCTGGCATGTGGCCAACCCTGAAGAGCTATTGGTTCCCTTTCAAATTTGTTTTTTCTATCAGAAGTGTGACTTTTTCCTAAATATCCACACTATATCCCCAGTTTTCATGGTGACCCATTAGGGGTTTGGCCTGTGACTGTTGAGATGTAAGGTCTTTTGATTTGGAGGGCTAGAGATTGTTACGTTATCTCAAGAAAGAGTTTGTGGCAAGGGCTAGAAAGTCCCTAAGCAGTTCTGGGGCCCTGCTTCTCATAGTTCCACCATGGATCAAGTGGTCTGTGTGACTGTGTGCCTGACTTTATGTCTCTGGTGACACCTCCTCTCTGCTGCAGTATATCCCTTCGCAGCCACTTGCTGTCCAGTTTCCCTTCCCTTTGGTAAAATCTGTCCCCTACCTTTACTTCTGTGTGGCCTGTCCAGCTTCCCTCCATACCATGACCTGTCAGCTCCTTTAACTCCCTTCTTCTTGCAAATATTTCCCAGATCAGAGCTCAAATTCCAAGGAGAGAATCAGTTTCATGCCAAAAAGAGCTGGTGACTCTGGGTCTTCAGCTGTGAGATTGAGCAGTCAGTATTCAGCTGCTCAGTGCCACCATGCGGAACTGGAGGCAGCCCGCAGGACTCTCGATTTTGAGCCCCGTGCACTTTCCATTTACAGACCCGTGGCGTAAGAAGCCTGCGCCTAGGCACTTTCAAGGTGAGTGGAATCACATCCTTTCAAAGGAATGCGGGACCACTCTACAAGCTTGGCAAGTGAAACAAGGATCAACTTTAGTTTTGCCTGCTGTGTCTTGGGCCTGCAAAGCTGGACCAGCTGTGGTTCCTTTCCAAAGGAGGGCTGCTTTCTAGTATGGGAGGCATTCTGGTCTCACTTCTTTCCTAGCAAGCTCCGAGGTATTGGACCAGTCAAAGCAAGGAAATACGGGGGTAATGTCGCCTCACAGGACCACTTTGAGTCTAAATCCTCTCAAGTGTGGTGGATTTTTAGAGATGACTTGTCAGCTTCTAGTAAGGAGCAATGGCCTGGGTTACCTGGGTATGAGGAAAAGCAGCTCTGGGTTGAGTCGTATGTCCTTCCACTCTGTCACTAAGGAGATTGAAACCTGGCGCCTCAATGTCCTCGTCTGTAACCTCTCTCCAGGGCTGTTTTTGAGGGTTCGGTGAGCTCATGCATGCCCCCAGAAGCAGGGGAAGGGAACTGCTGTCAGGGGGACTCCTGTGTGCTACTGTGTGCTGAGGGTTCCCCTTAAGTGATTTATGGCTTTTGGATTCTCATAATTCTGTGAGACTGGGTTAGTCCTGCTTTCTAGAGGAGGAGACAGACTCAGCTCTTGATGAACTGACTTTGTCGAGGTCACAAAGCTGGTATGTGACAGCAGAGATTTACATATGGGTTGGAGGTGATGCCGTCATGCCACACCCAGCTGGCAGGGTTGTGATGCCACGGTAGCAACTTGAAAGTCACCAGGAGCCATTCCAGCGTCCGAAAGCCCTTTATTTAGAAAGGAGCCTCGTCTCCTCTGCTGGGAGGACAGGGCTCTGCTCCATGGTGTTGTCCATCACCTGTTCACGTCTATTGATTTTTTAAATGGAGCTTTCACTTCAGGGCAGCCTCTGTTTAAGTTTTCACATATAAATTAATTCCTTTGCTCCTGAGTACTACAGATGAAGAAAAATTGTGGTAGGGTGTCAGGCTCTGAGCCAGGCCAAGCAGATTTGGGTAATTTCCTTAGCATTTTATGAGGAAAATGAGATTAAAAAAAAAGTTGACCTGGGTGCAGTGATTCATGGGCTAGTTCATTTGGTTTTTTGGTTTGTTTTTCTCCTATTTTGGCTGCTTTTTTCTATGAAAAAAAATTATACTCTATGTATCCTTGGGAAGGAAAATTGGTAGCTTTTGTTTCTCTCTTACTTGTCGTCTGAGCCTTTCCTACTGAGCCTTCCCCAGGGGGCAGAAGGTGATTTAAAGGCTAGAAAGGCCTGATCTGGTGAGGCCCAGTTTTCTGACACACCTGCAGTCCCATCTTGGAACAAGTGGGTTGTCACTACAAAGGGTTGTGACTAGATCTTTCCAGAGCGAGTGGTATTTTAAAGCAGTAGTTGGAAGCCCTATAACCTTGTGGCCTCCCTTCTTAGAGAGTCATTATCACCATCGTCAGGACCAACTAGTGTAAGCCAGGCAGTTCGTCCTCTGAGGGAGACCTGTGCCGACTCTTGTTGTACAGTGAAGAGACCCTTTGGAATGCAGGAGGCCGTGTGGAATTGTGGTTAAGAGCTCTGGCTTGGAATTCAACTGCTGCTTACTGGCTTTGTGACCTTAGGCAAGCCATTTAGCATCTTTTGACCTGTTTCCCCATTTCTAAAATGGAATGAAAAATATCTATGTGATAGGAAGATTATAAGGATTAAATGTGTTACCTGTGTAGTGTTCTTAGCACATTATCTAGTATATAGTAAATGCACATTAAATAGTAACTACTAGTAGTTTTTGCAAATAATTGTGGATGTTTTAATTTATAGATGTGTAGAATTCGAGAAGCACCTTTGAGGTCATCTCATTCAATCTCCATCTTTTACAAATGATGTAACTAGTACGGAAGTGGAAGGGACTTGTCCTAGGTCAAGCAGCTAGTTAATGGCAGGACCAGGCCTGGAACCCATGACTGATGCTCCTAGTGATTGCTCACACTTGTACATATCTGCAACCTCTAAAAGATTCCTTGTGAATTATGTTTCTGGGCCAGGTTGTCACTTTTCCTAGCAGGGCATACCTGGGGGATGGGGTAAATGGGGGTTGGGCTAGGTGTGGGAGGTGGGTCAGAGATTGGCCCAGGAAGCCTTGATGTTGTGTGGGTGGGGTTGTGAAGAGACACAGCTACATAGTTTGGGATCCTCCAGTGAGGAGGGATTACCTGATGGAGGGCTACCCAGAGGTTCCTTCTCCTAGACTTGAAATTCTGTTGCTTTCCAAGTGCATGCCTCCCTAGACTCTAGATAAGGATTGCCCCCAGGGAAGGAATGGGCTGGGAGTGGGTGGGCTGCTAAGGGACTTCAGCTGGACTTATGATGTTTATTTTCTCTCCTTTAACAAGAGTTGAGAGAGTAAAAGAGCTGAAACAAACATGACAGATGGTAGTAGTTAGTACTATGTGGTGAGAGCATTCAGTGTTTTGCTTTTCTATATTTTAATTTCTCAAAATAAAAAAGTCAATCACATAAGCAATTAGCCAGGCAGTTTAAAGATAAGTTTGTGACAGTTGCATACTTGAGAAGTGTTTTTTTAACGTTTCGAGGAGCATTAACCCCTTTGAGAATCTGATGAAGTTAATAATTTTTTCCTGGGAAAAAAAGTGCTTTCAAAAAATGTTTACAAAGAGTGAGGAAGATTTCTATGAGCTGATGTGGAGTGATTTCCTGCGTATGTATTGTTAAGTGTTTAAAAAAACAAGTGAAGCGTAAAAGAGGATGTGTAGTATGCCACCCTTCATGTAAGAAAGAGGGGATCTAACAGTAGTCGTGTGTCTGCTGGTTTGTGCAAAGCAAATAGGGGAAAGGTGAGCCAGGAACTAAAAAGACTGGTTACCTGCCTGCAGTGGGTGGGAAAGGGGTAGTAGGAAAGGGGGCATGATGAGGGGAGAGTACCATTTCTCTATGCACACATCTTCTGATAGCTTTGACTCCTAGAACCGTGATAATTGTCCACATAGCCAGGAAGTAAATAAGAAATGAAAAGTAGCCAGGATATGGGGGACCCAGACCGAAACATGGACAGTTGCAAAAGAAGCTAACGGGTACAAATGAGTAACAGCCACATGGAAGGATTGGGGAAGACAACTGGAAAACAGTATTTGGAGTGGGCACTGTAGGCTAAAGACGGGAAGAGCTATACACAGATAGTGTGTGCTGTTAGTAAATTTGTTTCTCACCAAGGTGTGGGTTAGCAATTGTGTAACTACTTTATGTGAATACTAAGATTTAACAAATACATAAATACATTGTAGATAATAAGAGCCAGGTTTCTCCTTATCTGAGAAAAAAGTTACAAATAAGACAAGAAGGAAGGTTAGAACCAACCATCAGTATGAACACATGGCTTTTCATTAGATTTGTGGAGAGAAACAGAAGTACATACAGGCAAGTATCTGTATATGTGTGAGTTAGTGCACATGCATGTACGTTCTAGCTCTGTCTACTGAGAAGGTCTAGAAGCAGCGACACCCCAGTAGCAATGAACTTACTTAGCACCCAGATCCTGGTTTTTGAGTTCTCCGATAAAGGGAAACAGGGCTCCTTAGAGAAAAGGCTGATCCCAGGCTGGCGCAGGGAAAATACGAGAGACTGGAACGTCTTGTGTTGTCAGAAGTAAAGGAATGCTCAAAAAAGATTGGAGGCATGTTGAAAGAATGCAGGAACCAACACAAAAGAGCTCCCAGTGGACAAATCTGGAACAGTTTGAACCACAAAATAAATAATGATAGTAATGGATTAAAACCACAGCATAAAATAGATATCTCTGGGTTATACAGATACAAGTAAATAATTGAAGATGTGAGTAAATGGGGAAAATGGACAGGCAGTGTGTAGACCACCCTGAAACTATCTTCTGCAGCAGAGGGCGGCAGACTTTGCCTGTCGAGGGCTGAAAAATAAAGATTTTGAGCTTGCAGGTTGTACGTACAGATGATATCACAGCCACTCAGCTCTACCGCTGTGGTGTGAAGGCACCCACAGGATACCTAAGTGGATGGGCATGGCTGTGTTCTAATAAAACAATTTACAAAAGCAGGCAGCCCTCAGGCCTAAGTTTGTTGATGTCTTAGAGAATGCGTGTTTTAGAAGATATCAGCTAGTTACTTTTAGCTGTTTACAGAGTAGATCTTAGTGAGTTTGGGGGGTAGGAGGGTTACAACTGAGAGTCGTCTCCTGTAGCTCTGACAACACATACTTCTTGGTGCAATTTCAGAATTGCAGATTTGGAAAGAGGCAGCTTACTTTGTCTCTTGTTCAGATTTTGCTTACTTTTGTGTGCCTATTCTGTTTCATGGTATGTAGCATGGACTTTGCACTTGGACCAACCTGGAATGGGAAACTAAGTTTGCTTTCACTAGCTGTGGGACCTCAGATAATTTGCTTAACTTCTCTAAGTCTCCGTTTCCTCATATGTAAAATAATAAAATTGTTATTAGCTATGAGGACAGAATTTTGGATGATTCACTACGAGAAAAGGAGATGTTATGCATATTTCTCTAGGGGAGAAAAAAGGAGTGAATCAGCTTAGGAGTCTGTCGGTGGTTTGGGATGACAGCCTTAGGACTGTGGTTGTTACACTTAGGAAGACCTCCGCGTGGATGGCCGTGGCTGTGAGGATTACCGATGTGTCGACGTGGAAACCGATGTGGTGTCCAACACCAGTGGGTCTGCCAGGGTCAAGCTGGTGAGTACTGTGGCCGCAGCCCATGCCCAAGTGGAGAATGAGTAGGCCTGAGGGAACCAGCTGCAGGCCCCTCAGAGCTTTTGGAGTGCAAATTGTTCTGGGGTATCCAAGACCCAGGCCAAACTCTGGGAGGGGGTCTATCTAGATCTGAAGGACCCCTCACCTTCTCAAAAGGCCACTTCCAAGTCCCAGCACTACTCCTAGGAGAGTCCCCCCTAGGAGGGCGTCTGTCTGGGAGAGGAGGGAGGTGGTTGGGTGTCTGGCTGCCTGCCCTAAGTAAGGACGCTTCTTGCATGTGTCTGCAGGGTCACACAGACATCTTGGTGGGAGTGAAAGCAGAAATGGGGACGCCGAAACTGGAGAAACCAAATGAAGGTTACCTGGAGTTCTTTGTTGACTGGTCAGTACTGTGCAGATGTTTTTAAAGAGTAACAATTTAAAAGACGAAGATTCAGAGAATGAACCTCTGGTTTCCCATTGAGTGCACTTTTATCTTGTATTTAATCATCATTCATCCAGCCAGCAGGTATTTACTGAGTTCCTCTTACGTGCTGGGCACTGGGCTATGTGCAAGGAGGTGTTGGCTCAAGTCTGGCCCTTGTCCAAATCACCTGGCCCTCGCTGGGCCTCATTTTCCTTGTCTGAAAAAGGAGGGCGTCTGCCAAGCAGCCCAGCACTTGGTGGTTATGAGTCAAGTGAAGTGATGGGTGTTACAGTGCTTTGAAAGATATCAAACATAGATGATAAGGATCATTTAGTCCAAAATGTCCTGTTTCTCTTCCTGCTCTAGCTTTGCAAAAAACTTTTCGTGACTCGCTTGGCAGAGCATGGACTAGGGCCAGCCAAGCCGCCTGACAGGCTCAGGGAGTGGCAGCTAGGCAGGCAGTGTGGGAAGAACAGAGACCTGCAGTCTCCCGTTGCTGGCTTCCTTCTGTGCCCTGCTGTGTGACCTCAGGCTAGTTACTCAGTCTGTCTAAATTCCTTTATCTGAAAAATGGGGATAATGATATCGTTGTGATGATGAGGCAATGAAATAATGAAGATTGGGGCCGGCCTGGTGGCACAGTGGTTAAGTTCAAATGTTCCACTTTGTAGGCCTGAGGTTTGCTGGTTCGGATCCTGGGTGCGGACGTGGCACCGCTTGGCAAGCCATGCTGTGGTAGGTGTCCCACATATAAAGTGGAGGAAAATGGGCATGGATGTTAGCTCAGGGCCAGTCTTCCTCAGCAAAAAGAGGAAAATTGACAACAGGTGTTAGCTCAGGGCTAATCTTCCTCAAAAAAAAGAAAGAAAGAATGAAAATAGAGTGAGCCCCTAGCGCAATGATGGGCTGCCAGTAGACTTTCAATAAATGTTATTTTTCTCCCTCTTGTTACTTCCCCCTTCTAGGGGTTGGGGCTTTTTATTGGGTTGCTGGCCCAGTCTCATCTCCTATCTGTAACTTCACTTCTAGCCAGGTAGTGATAGCAGGCCTTCTTGAGGTGAGTAAGCATCTCTCCTGGCTCATGCTGGGTGCAGGTATATAGTATTGGTACAGTGTTGAGTCCCCAAGACCACCCACACATTCAGAGATTTGCTGGAAGGACTCACAGGACTTAGCATATAGTCGTGCTCATGGCTGAGATTTGTTACAGCAACAAAAATGCAGCAGCATGTGTATGATGATTCTGCCCAAGAACACCCGTTAGAGACTCAGCACCCAAGATTTTTATTGGGGATGGTCACAGAAGCACCCTCTGCTTAACACATACCAGAACTCCAGGCTCCTGCGGGGAAAGCAGGTGTCCTGCATAAACCTTGTGATTTGCACACACAGTCTAGGCACAGTGGACACAGTTTACTGTTGACTGGGAACACTCTGGGAGCCAAGTTTCCAGATGCCAGCTGAGGGCCAACCTTGCACGCAGGCCCTTCTAAAGATGGCAGCCTTCGGCTTGCTCTGTGAGCCCTTTTCTGCACAGATGCTAGCCCACATTTGTGTAGTGAGTTACAGTCTTCCACTGTTCCCTTCAAACACAGAAGTCGATCCTTACAACATTCCTGTGACACAGATGACATATGGAGTTCAGAGAGGGTAAATGACTTTCCTAGGATCACAAAGCTAGTAATGCCAGCTGAGGTCTGTCTGACTCTGAATCTTTGCTCTGTCTACTTCATGCAGCCTGCAGAAGTCAACTTTAGAGGGATATTGTGCTTAGAGTTCCCAGAATGTATCTGTGTTCATCTTTCTGGCCACTTTTCCTTCCACTCCAGTCCTGTCCTCTGCCCTGGCCCCCCAAGCAGAACCTGGTTCTACCCAGCTGCTCTCACCAGTTTGAGCTGTCCAGTAGGATTGGCCCATCCTTTAAGTTGCTGTGGATGATGGCAACCTCACTCAGGCCTCCAACTTGTCCTTTCCTTTGCTCTTGGAAGAAAAATCCTCCCCTGGCCTCGATCTGCCTAAGTGAACACCATAAACAGCTCGTCGCTGAGGAGCAGACACCATGTGAGGAACTGTAGTTTGCTTTCCTTTTCTTCCTCTTCATTATCTTCCACCTCATTCATCTTAGGCAGACCAAAGACAGTCAGCCCAACCACACCAGATGCTTGGTATAGGTGATGTGTTTTGTTGTGGCTCTGTCTGACCATGATGCCAGGTTCGCCTGCTGCTCTTGTCCCAGCTGAAAGGGAAGGGTGAAAAGAGCCTTGGAGCTGCCTCCTCCCAAGATCTAGCTCCTAGGAGGAGCCTCTCTCTCCTGGCTGAGAGCGGCTGCCTGCTGGTCTCCTTTCCCGTTTTGTAAGTCTCAGGAGAACACCAGTAGGCCTAGAAGCTGCGGTTCCCAGGGAGTTCTCCTGCATCTGTTTCTCAAGATGGATGATCTCAGTGTGGCACACTTTAGTGTCTTTAAATGGCACAATTAGTGTCATCAGCCCAGCAGGTAGAATCACCATGAGAGATTCCCAAAACCCCTTTTTCCTACAGAGAAGGGAGAGGTTACCAAGCACCACTGGCTCCCACCTTTATCAGAACCACATTTGAGTCTTCTGGTAAATTTTAATTGCATAAACAAACCTCTTTATTCTAATCTGGTGAATAGGAATGGCTTCTGGGCACCTGTGGCTGTGCCCTGCAATAAGGGTGCTGTCTCTGCTGGAGAGCTCAAGGCACTGGCCCATCTGCAGGCTGAAATAGTTGTTACCCAGTGGGAGGAAAGTAATTGGGGGGCAGGGTGTCCCTCCTGCTGGTCTGAGCCCAGCTTGACTTAACTGCTTATCAGCAACTTTCAGGTTTTAATTATTTAGATTTCCAGTGGTAGAGAGTTCTCAGAAAACTAATTACTTTTCTGCTAACTCATTCTACTTCCCTTTGCCTACTTGGAATAATACGTGGACCCTGGGGTAGACTCCACCTCCAACCCCCATCATTCCTCCTGTGTCTTGGGAATGATGCCCTTTGGAAAGTGTGCCTGGCTGCACCGACCCTGATCCCCATACCAGTGGAGTAGTAAAGATTTGGGGTTCTTGAGCTCTGCTCCACAGATGCGTGGCAGCACTTTTCACTAAACTGGGAGCAAACTCAGACCTTCTAAGTCTTGTCTCATGTCTGTGGTTTGTTTGTTGTAGCCTGAGAATAGGCCATTTTAAATAAGAACTGTGAAACTTTGGGAAAAGATGGTTTCCATCTAAAGCCCAGAGAAAGGTAAGAATTTAGGGAGTTGGTATGTCACTATGAGTTACTGCCAGATCATAGTCTATCGGGTCACTTCTCAGCTCTGTGGCCACCATGTTGGTGGGTTTAGGAACTGTGGTTTAGCCTCTCAGAGAGGCTTCAGTTTTTAACTTGGAGAGCTGAGGAGAATGTTTCATTCATAGGCGTTTCAGTGCCCAACACTTGCCACTTCCCTTTGGGATCTTAACTACTTTTCAGTATGATCACTTGTATTTTTCACTAATATTGAACCAGAAGCATCGGGCACTGAATTGGTGGATGGAGCTGTTTGCTATCTCTTCCTTACCTGCTTAGTGCTGCTTGAAGGGGGCACTGTTCTCTGCTGAAGGGCTGGGGTTGCGGACAAAGCAGAGGGGCAACCTGCAAAGCCATTTGAGCCAGTTGTGCTCTGAGAGTCTCCAGAGCTGATGAGATAACTCCCAGAAACTTCACCCAAGTGCTTACAATGAAAAGCTCAGGATGTGCTACTGTTCCTGTACCCAGTCATAGGGAAACTGCTGCGGGCTCAGAAATGAGCACATGTGCACACAGAGGAGGCAGGAACTGAGACCTGCCCCAGGGCTGGATGGCTACTGGAGGGATAAGGCCCTGAGGAGCCCTGCCGCAGGTGCCACTAACTCACTTTTTTCTGCCATGGTTCTGGCCTGACCTGGCTGTAGGGCTCCACTGATCTGCAAGCTAGATTGATTGCAAGGGAACCAACAATGGGCCTAGTGTCTGAAGTCCCATACCAGGTTGACATGGCCTCCATCTCAGTCTACCCCAGTTAAACCAGAGATGTGCCAAGCAGGAGGAGCAGAGTGGAGATGATGAGTCAGGAGGGGTGGAGAACTGGGAGGGGCAGCATTCCCAGGATTTTTATTAGTTTATCCAGCTCAGTAGGCAATTTCCCAGCAGCCCTGGAAGAAGGATTGGCTTATACTTTGTGAAGAATCTGAGTTGATTTTGATAATTGTAAATATAGAAAGCACTTGGTTTTATGCTAAAACCAAAGTGTGTACTCCCCTACTGAAAGAATATATTGTAATGCCTATGAGCAGGGGCTCGGATTACCAGCCTGTGTTCTCTCTCTTTTTAAACTTTGTGTAATAGAGGAGCTTTTATTTAGGACTCTCTTGGTCTGCATTCCCTGACTCCGACATTTGTGGTCTAGTAATAAGTCACAAGACCAGAGCAGCCATTCATTACCGTGAGGCAAAGACAGGCCCAGGGACCCTAACCTGACCGATGTTAGGCTGTAAGCCAAGCCTGCCGAATTACACATTCAGGGGACTCCAGCGACGCCTAGCAGATGAGGGCTGGGCTACCTGGGTTAGAGTCTTAGCTCCCTGTTCACTAATTGTGTGACCTAAGACAAATTACGTAATCTTTCTGTGGCTCAGTTTTGTTTCTTCTAAAGTGGGGTCACTAATAGTGCCAACCTCATGGGGTTGTTAGAAGAATTAAGAGTTAATACATCTCAAGTGCTGAGAGTGGTGTCTGCACACAGTAAACATTCAAAAAGGTTGTTAAAGTTTCCCTCCTTGTAAAATGAGAGAGTTGGACCATCTGAGGTCTCACAGTATCATCCTGTAGGTCAGATCTTGCCTAGGAGATTTCTGTTTCACTAAGTTTTTTTAAGGCAGGCATTTGGTTTTTTGTCCTCTGGAGATGGCCTCTAAGGCCCTTTGTACATTTCTGTCCAAGTCTATCAGAAAGTGTCCTCGTGCTATGAGCGCCCCTAGTGATGAGGTGGAACCCTCCCTTCTCCACTCCAGCCCTTCTCTCCATCCTTTGGCAGAATACGGAGTCTCGGCTTTGCTCATGTTTCCCAAAGCGCTGCACCCCATCCCCAACCCTGAACAATTTCCTTCCATTTTCCTGTAGTCACTCCATAGCCTGGGCACCATCCAAGACAGGAGCTTTCCATGGTCTCAAGAGCCTCTGAACCTTGCTCTCTACCTGGCTACCAGCTCTGCTGGAAGAATGATGTGTTAAAAATAAAAAAGCTACTTTTAAAAGGGGGAAATGTCCACCTTAAATTAGCCCAGTGTCAAAGAGACAATGGGGCACGGTTTTGTACATAGATTAGTGTAGCCGGTTGGACCTGGGAAGTTCTGTAAAGCATCCCTAAGGGCAGTAGAAGAGTCAGTGCATCAGTCCCTGAATAGTTAGTCACACCCAGCAGGATGTGGCCCACTGTGATCAGGGAAAAGTAAACGTTTTCATCTCTCACTGGAATTGTCTACACAGAGATCGATATAGATGTGTTGTTTTTTTGTTTTCTTCTTTTTTTTGGTGAGGAAGATTGGCCTTGAGCTAACCTCTATTGCCAATCTTCCTCTTTTTGCTTGAGGAAGATTGTCACTGAGCTAACATCCGTGTCAATCTTCCTCTATTTTATATGTGGAGTGCCACCACAGCATGGCTTGGTGAGCGGTGTGTAGGTCCACACTTGGGATCTAAACCTGTGAACCTCTGGCTGCTGAAGTAGAACACATGAACTTAACCACTATGCCACCCAGCCAACCCCTATAGATGTGTTTTTAAACACTTAAAAGATGGAGCTTAATATTGATTGCTTAGTGTTTGAATTAGAAACGGGTTGTGTTTTGCTGACTGTGCAAAATCATAAACTTGGTCCCTGGTAACATGATTATTTCATCATAAATGAGCTGCTTTTCATGGCCCGGTGCCCGAGTCCAGCAGAGGGAGTGAGGGAACAGTGTGGTTGCTATGGCAGTACTGACATTTCTCTTGGGGATTTTGAATTGTGGTTCCGTTGGCTCATAGTGGTCAGGGAAGACTGTATGATTAGAGAAGCAAAGTTATTGCACAATGATACACTCTTATTTTTGGATTCGTTCTTCCACCTATATTAGAATGGACTAGACAAAAGAGACATTTAAATATATTAGATGAGCTTTCTTTCAGTGTTACTCAAATGGGGTGGGCATAGCCTTGAGCCTTCACACAGGTTTTGCTTTGCCTGGAATCCCCCTGCTGTCTGTGGCCTGACCGTCTTGTACTCATCTTCAGGTTTGAGGTCTCCTATAACCCTCAGTACTGATTGACATGCTCCCTGACCCCCTGCTCCTGCTGTTTGCTCCCTGGCATGAAGCTCCCCCTACTTCATTGGAATTGCTGGCTTAGGGTCTGCATCCACCTTGCTCAATCTCCAGGTCTCCAGTGCATAGGGCTGGGTACCTGCCAGATGGATGAGTGGATGGACAGATGGACTGGGGACCAGAAAGCTTCAGTGTGTGATTTTGTAGAGACTGTACTGAAACAACTGGTTTCTTAACCCTTCTGGACCTTACTCATTACAGTAAAATGATTGCTAGAATGTTTAGTTATCTCACAGATGTACAAAGCATTTGTTTTTGTTAAGCCAAACCCACAGAAATTTCCTCTTGAACAGTTTTGAGTAGTGCTTAGAGTGGCAAATGTTGATGGCTATTCATTCTTTGTTGAGGTAATTGGGCATAAGATTCAAGAGGCCAAAATGGGAAAGTTTTTCTCTTGAAAAATGGCAAATCGAGTAAAAGGGATAATGTAATATTTAATCAGCCAGCAGTCTTTCTCTCATTTCATTTTCTTGCTTTTTAGTACAGTGATAATCTAAAGTTTATGACATAACTCTGGCATGCTATGATACATATCTTCTCAATCATTCCAAGAAGGTTATGTGCTTACATCGTGGGTTGTTTTTGAGAGTATCATAGTGCAGTCTAAGGCTGTGGAGACTAGAGATGGTGTATATAATGTATGCCCTCTGAAAGCCAGACTACTTGATTCTTTAGGCCTCCCGGCTTCCCAGGCCTGCCAGAGAAGAGTATTTATTGTACTCTCAAGATAAGAGAGTTAATTATTACTGGGCAAGGCTCACTTTACCATTGCTGTCTTGTTTCTCTTTGGATAAAGATGGCTTCTGTTAGAAGTCAGGGGGCCTCCCTTCACACACGCTGACAAATCCAGGGCACAGTGCCAGTGTGGTTCATTGCATGTGTCTGGAGGCTGAAAAAGTGGCACATGCCATCCTTTCCTCATTTCAGTGACTTTCCTTATGGTGCTGGCTCTTCCAACATTCCACGGGGAAACTGGAATAAAGCCTTATTTCTTTGCTCTTTGCATTTGAAAAGCCTCACCCAGCTTTTCTGTTGCCTTTCTTTGTAGTTCAGCCAATGCTACCCCTGAATTTGAAGGTCGCGGAGGTGATGACCTTGGCACTGAGATTGCTAACACCCTCTACCGGATATTTAACAATAAGAGCAGCGTGGACCTGAAGTCCCTCTGCATTAGTCCTCGGGAGCACTGCTGGATTCTCTATGTGGACGTGCTGGTAAGTCTCACGTTGCTGTGCTGGCCACACTACACCTTTGTTGGAGACCAGTTGGCCTACTTTCCTCCCACTGCTTTTTCTTTCTTCAGGTGGATACTTTCGACTTCCAGGGTGAGATTAGTTGGGAAAAGATTGGTCTCCTGTAAATATGTTTTTTATTAAATATAACATATGTATCATAGTATACATATAATGCCATTCTAAAACAAAGTTACAGTCATATCGTGTTAGTATCTAAAATTATCCACAGAGGTTGTCAGGGAAGGAAAAGACAAGAGATGCTCTCTAGATGGTGCCAGACAAGTTGATGGGCAGAATTTAGACAAGTCAGCATATTCTTCTATGTGGAATGTTGGTGAGCTCTTTACCCGCATTTCCTTTAGCCGTTAGAAATGTTTTGCGAATGGTCACTATTATTTTCCCCATTTATAAATGAGGGGACTAAGACACAGAGAGGTAAAGTAAGTAGTCCAAGAGGTCTCAGCTTGTGAGTAGTGGTATTGGGTCTCAAAGCCAGGTCTGTTTAATGCCAGTGCCTGCTCTTGACCTCACTAAGCCAATCCTCCCTTGAAAACACCCTACAGTCCATCTGCTCAGAGTCCCTCATTTCCCAGGTGAGGACCCTGAGGCCCTCTGGAGTCTGCTCCTGCAAGAGTCTTTCTAGTCCAGCTCTCCGTTGCCTTCCTGGTGCTTTCTCTCCCCAACACTCCTCTGCCTGGTTTTTGGCACTTGACAGTAACTTCTCTTACAGCTATAATTAATTTTGCTAGTTGCTTGTTCATGTACAGGCTCTTGTTCGGTCTATTTTATTCCTTTTCATTAAATTTTATGAACCTTGAGATTAGTGATGACAGCTTCCACTTCAGATTGAGGACACAAGGCTAAGCCATTGACCAAACAGATTCTTTAATGAATCGAAAGATAAAGCAGATCTTGGGGACTGATAGTGAACTTTGTGAAGAGGAACAGCCTGGCTGTCTCTAAATGTTGACCTTGCGTGAAGCAGGGTAGGGCTTTCCAGATATTTTAAAATTAGTTTGATAATGGTTGGATATTAATCAAAAGAGCCATAGTCAAAAGTGGATACGATTGTCCAGCAGGTTAGGGCTGTTCTGAATGCTGATGCAATGGGTAAATGTAATGGAAATGAGTCCATTTGCTTTTACTCATCTTCGATTAGCTTATCAATGTACCTTACTTGTGTACTTTGATGCACCTTATATTGTGATTCCTATCAAGCAGGTAATTTTGCAGGTCCTGGTTTTGAGGATGGAGGAACGGGCAGCCTACAGTCCTTACCAATAAGAGGTGGGCTTCACAGCTGCCCGGGGAGGTGCAGCCCCACTTCATGAGCTCTCAAGTTCTATCCTGTGTCTGAAGAACATTATGTCCTCCCCGTTCCCCTCTAAAACAGTGTCATGGAGCATTGCATTTGTCCTTCGGTGATCTTGCTTTGTTCTTTCTCACTATTTGTGACCATTTGTGGTTTTGTAGGAGGCCAGCCAAGTGATTGGGGCCTGATGCGCTTTTAATTCAGTCAAGAAGCCTCTTGTCTCAGTGAAGGTTTTGCAGAACTGATGAATATGAGGGCATTATCTCAGCTTAGAACCGGCACCCTTCTTCCTTCGTGAGCAGGCATGTGTGGTAAGCGAGCGTGTCCCTGTCATCTGAAGACCTTTCCTTTTAAGACTGCTCGCGTTTGGATTTTTTCTGTAATATTTTATTTAAATATTTTTAAGGTTTTATTTATTTTGGAAGAAGAAGTAAGCTTTTAAAATGTTGTCATCCTCAGAAAAATTTTTCGTGAATTAGAAAAATATTTTTAAAAATTGTATTATTAGTGAGGTAAATCAGTTGTTGTCCTCCACAGAATTCGTGCCTATGGAGGGGTTCCTCGCCCATGAAGGTGAATGTTTGCTTTCTGCCTTGATAGCACTGTGCTTCGTGCTTGTGAAGTGGGGGATAGGCTTTTGTCTGGGGAGGAGGCTTTTATCCTACATCTAAAAATAAACTGAGTACATTGAGTCCCTGTTAGAAGCAAGATGGTGGAAATCCAGTCTTGTCCCTGGGATTGTAAAAAATGAATCTCCTATGATTTGTTTTTACTAACTGGTCTGGAAGTCCTCAGCCAAAGCCCATCTTTCAAACAAATATTCACTGGGCAACCTTCCATGTTTTCATACTTTTACTATAGATACATTTACTTAAAACCTATTACAGTCAGATGATCCATCTATTTCCAATATTGTTTTTGTCCTCAATTGGGTTATTTTATAAGAGTAGGAATTTAACTTTGTAGAAACTTCACTCTTCTTTGCTCTTTAATGGCATTGGTTTTTACCCCAAGTGGGATATCTGTTAGAACTTTGTCGTGCTGGCAGTGTACAGGTGACCTTTGCTGGGGAGAGCAGTCACAAGGCTGTTTTGCGATGGGCGTCATGAGTGGTGATGAGTACGAGCATGTGGCTGTGGCATTGGGCACAGAAGAAAGAAAGAGTGGAGTCATCAGTGCAGTGCCTAGCAGCTGGCTGTATGTGGTGCCAGGAGGCGCTAAGCCTGGTGTCTGAGAACGGTGAGGGGAAATCCAGGAAGAGCAGGGTTTTTGTGGGGAGACATATTTTTCACTTGGTAGACTGTGCTTCCTAGCAGTATGTTTCAGAAGTTTGCCCTATGAAAAGAAACCCCTCAACCCCAGATGGCTCACCGAATGTTACACTGTTCCCCTAAAAGAACCATTCTAGGATTTGTGTGTTTGATGGGGAGGTATGTTTTTGACCAAATGTGTCTTGCCGTTCTCCAGTTCTGCTCCTTCCCCACCTCTGTTATAGGAGGACTTTTCTCCCAGGAGAGGGTGGACAGCTGCAGCCTGCTCTAGGACCACGGTCTTGGCGTGTCTCTAACACCAGATGTCTCACACCTTCTCTTCTCCCAGCTCATCTGGGCCCATTCAGACAGCCCAGTCCAGCCACTTTGGTACATCCACTTCTGGGCTGTACCACTATGTTTAGCAGAAAGATTCTTGCTAGACTTCTCCTGGCAGCAAGAGAGGAAGGTAGGGTCTATGAGCATCTGATAGGTGCCAAGAATGTTAAGGATATGATCTCCTTTAATCCTCAGTCACCTTATAGATAGGCTTTGCGTTACTGAGGGAGAAACTGAAGCGCAGAGAACACATAGTCAGCAAGTGACAGAGCAGCGTGTCAGACCCACATTGCCCGACCAGGGAGCTTCCCGGGTCACCCTGTTGTGTGGTGCATTGTGAGCAGGAAGACCTGAGGCCTGGAGTGGGCTCCTCCTTTGCACACTGTGGGGAAAGGCAGGCTGATTGGTACCTGCCTTTTGGGATGCCCCTCAGCAGATACTCAAGGTTTAGCATTCTGCCTTCATCTCTTGGTGATAAGCTAGAATGTTGAAAATCAAAGTTTGTGTCCAGCTTCAATTGGACGTGGTACAGGACAGTAGAAGGAGCACTGCATGGGGAGTCAGGCCATGTGCCATGAGCGAGAGAGCTTCTGTATCCTCACTAGTCTAGTAAGGGTTGGGTGAGGTGCACTCCAGGGTCCTCTCCAGCTTGGCGGCCCTACAACTGCTAGAACAAGCATCAGCATTTATCTAGCAGTTTATTTTCATAAAGCAGATACTGTGGAACAGCAGAGTGTAAAATAGTGGTCTTCAACCCTGGCGGGTCATCAGGACCACCTAGAGACTGGAGTAAAATAGAGATTCTGGGGCCTCACCTGGCGTTTTAAATAAGCTCCCGGGGTGATTTGGATGCACAGCCAGGGATAGAAACCTCACTGTAAGTGGTGAAGATGGAGAATGTGCAGCACGCATCTTCAGATAGTCTGTGAGGACAACAATTGGAAAATGAAAGAGCAAGTCACTGTTTATTTAAAAACGTTACCTAACACTTACTTTATGCTAGACACACTTCTAAGGGCTTCACAAGTACTGATTCATTCAGCCTTTATAGCAACTCTGTGAGATAGGTGTGATTTTTACCTCCACAAGCCACAGAGAGGTTAAGTACCACCTAGGGTCATGCAGCTAACCGGTGAAGGCAGGAGTCGAGTCCACATGATCTGACTCAGGAGTCTAGCTGGAGCCCTTTGCTGTGTGGCAGTCTATATCTGAAGCAAAGTGGAGAAGAGCTAGTCTGGTTGCTGGACAAATGAGTGGTAGTTACAAAGCCAGGTGGTAATGTAGGCTGGGGATCATATTTTAATAAGCAGTAATTATGCAAGGGTGCAAGAAAGATGGTTTGCGTGGAGAGCTTAAAGGTGGGAATTACGGATGTGCACTGGGCATGAATGAAGTGTGTGAATGAGACAGCCAGGTATAATTGTTGACTCTTAGTGGAGTTTGGAAGGCTCAGGCTTAGGGCCTGTCTGTCTTCCATAAATAATCACCACGCTCCTTCTTCATGGTAGACTTCTGCTGAGCTCTGAGGATAAAGGAATGAACAAAACCAACAGGGTCTAGCCCTCAGGAGTTCACAGTTCAGATGAGGAGGAGATAGGCTTTAAACAAAAATACATGGAAATACACGACTTGTCTTTCTATGTGTGACTTCTCCTTGGGACAGCCCAGTTGGCTTTACTCCATAACCTCAGGCCAAGGCTTCTCTCAGATGAAGACAGAAGGATGTGTTGCCTTCCACTTAATAATGGACTCTAACCTTTCCCACGTGCAGGAAGGATGAGCACACGTAAGTGCAGTCAGCACTTTCACTCATGGGCAAAACTTGTATGGAAGACCTTAGTTTTTATCATACTTAATGTAAAACATGGAGTGTTAGATGTTTGAGCATCAAGTGTCCATTGGCAATTACGTACAGCAGGTAACCATATTAATAAATGTGAACCTGGTAGAGCTATAGCATCAATGGCCACCAGTTTTTACTTGTTTGGAGGCTGGGCATATGTTAGCAAAGATGAGAGTAACGTTTGCAGTGTGACTGGGAGCACTTTGGGGCAAAATAAAGGTGATCAGTTCCTCCTTCAGTTCAGGCACAACTGGCTGGAGGGCCTGTGAGAGGAGATCCACCACAAGCTGAGGACTCCAAGTGGTGGTACGACAGCCAGGGCCAACTGTGACCCCACACGTGTGGCCTGTGTAAGCACAGCCATGATAAGGCAGTGCTTGCAATTAGAGTGAACATGCTGTGCATGTCAGTGAGCCAGGAGAGCAGCCACACGTTCTTATCTTTGTATTATAAGCCCTTGGTTAGCATTTCTTAGGAACCACTATCCTTTAATTGGGATAATCCTTCGAGTAAGAAATAATGTTTGCTGCTGCTTCTCTCCTCGTTCTGTCTCCCTTAGCTACTGGAATGTGGTGGAAATTTGTTTGATGCCATTTCCATTGCTGTAAAGGCTGCTCTCTTCAATACAAGGTAAGTCTTCCTGGACATAGCCCCATGGGCCTGTGGGGAACCTGAGCCAACACTTATGATGGAACACTGAGGATGTTTCTACTGAAAGCTCAGAGGTGGAGATAAGAGGTTTTAGCATTGAAAATGGTGGTATTTAGGGGCTGGCCCCGTGGCCAGGTAGTTAAGTTTGCATGCTTTGCTTCAGCGGCCCAGGGTTTCACCAGTTTGGATCCTGGGGACGGACATGGCACTGCTCATCAGGCCATGCTGAGGTGGCGTCCCACATAGAACAACCAGAGGCACTCACAACTAGAGTGTACAGCTATGTACTGGGGGTTTGGGGAGGAGGAGAAGAAGAAAAGAGAAGGAAAAAAAGAAGATTGGCAACAGATCTTAGCTCGGGTGCCAATCTTCAAAAAAAAAAGGTGGTATTTAATGTTAAGCTTCAGAAAACAGAGATTTCATAAGTTAAAACTAAATATATGCCTGTATTTCTGTATTTATTTTTTGTATTGGTGTTTTCATAAGTAAACATGTATCTTGTAGAATAATATTAGAAAATTACAGAGACGGAAAAAGAGTAGAAACCAACTACAGGTCCATTATCCAAATATGTTCCTGGAGAGAGCTCCCTGGGGGAAAGGGTTCGGCCTGCGTGGTGCTCTGCTCTCTCCCCAGGCCCATGAACAGTGCCTGGCGCATGGCGGTGCTCATATATTCCTTGATTGGACACACGATTGTTCTCAAGGCAGGGTAGCAGCCTGCTCTTTGGTTACGTTAAGAGCAGGAAATGACTGTGCCACTGTGGTTCAGCTTCCCAGACAGGCTTTGCAGCAAGGGACATGGCACTAAGCTTTTTTTGGAGTTGACATTTCCTCTGACTGTTGGATTGTATGTCCTTTTCCCCTTCTGTGTACCATGTTCTTTGAGAAAAGTTTGCAGCATTTGAAAATAAATATGTGGGCAGAGGTGTTCATTCCATGAGAGAGCTTATGTTGTGGTAATGGGGGATCCTGGGGTATTAGATAATGAGGATTAGAAACTTCTAGAGATATATTCTCAGGAATTAATTGGGTAAGTGAGCAAAGATATTATTCTAGGATGTTCATCACAGCTTCTTTGTAACAGTGAGAAATTGGAAACAACCTGAATGTCCCAACGTAAGGGATTGCAGTCTACATAGCAGCTTATCTGGAGGTTGTTTATATGTAAAACCAGTCAATAAATACAGTCCTCTCATCCTGTTTTTTTGTTTTATTTTACTTTTGGTAATTCCTATATTTAATATGTCTGGAAATGTATATATATATATCCCAAAATGGTCATTGTTATTATTTTCCAGTGTTCATATTGTGGGCAATTTGACATTTATCTGTAGTTTAGAGTTGTTCTATGGTAAGTTTAGACTACCTGCATAATTTAAAACAAAACAAACAAATAAATTCGGGCCATAAATTGCAGGATGGAATATTGACTGAGAATGAAAGCTGTGGAGTCCCACCTCTAGCTGTGCCACTAGACTCCTGGCTGAGACTAGTCGAGGGGCAGGCCTGGGACTTGTGGCCACTGCGGGGGCTCGAGTACTAGATGCCATCAGCAGCAGCCTGGGCCTCAGCTCTGTTGGAGAAGAAGGGAAGTTGCCATCTGTTGTACCCCAAGTCTCAGAAATTACTCCCCGTCTGCCAACTGGTTTCCATGGGCACCAGGGCAAAAAGAGAGAGTAGAACCAGGGAGGCTGCTGGGCTGCGGGGGAGGTGTTGGGCAAACTGTACAGCAGGAGGGGAAACCCAGCTGCTCAGGTTGGGGAGGACACCTGTCGTGGGCATGGCCATGTCCATCCCCAGAACAGGAGTGGCCCTGCAGACAGCAGGGAGGGGAACTCTGTGAGGCATTGCGTCCCCTTGGTATGTGACAAGACCTTTTGAACAGTCAAGGCCCGTTAGAAGGATGGAAGTTGTCCTCTAGACGGTATTCTCTATCCCTTCTGCCGAACCATATTGTGGCTAAAGGGCTGGGAAGATGTGTGTGTGTGTACGCTTATTTTTTAACATGCCACAATTCAAACTGGTTACCTGACTTGTTCAAATAGGATTTTACTTAGTACTTACACCCTGGGGGCCCCTGACATAGAGACTTTAGCTAGGGCAGACCCTAGCAGGACTCCTTTGTCCTTGTGGACATTCTCTGGCTGAAACTCCTCTGCTCTGGGTGTTGGCTTGTGTAGGGATGGACTGCAAGACTGAATCAGAGGGGGCTTATGTTAGAGGAACAAGGAAAGGCACCAACACTATTTCCATTATAGTAGCTGGGTGGACCTCCTCTTCCTTCCTGGCTCCTCCACCCTAGACTGGAGTGAATTGACTTTAAGGGTTAAATATATTTAAGGGTTAAATATAAGGGTAAATATATTTGCAGCACCCAGCCCAAGAAACAGAACATTGCCAGCCTAGCAGAAGCCCTTGCACCCTGTACCCCCATGCACTCACTACACTCACTGAGGATAACCACTGTCCTAAAACAATAGATTGGTTTTGTACTTGATATAAGTGGAATCACACCATGTTTTCTCTTTTGTGTCTGCCTTGTGTACTGAGCATTAAGTTTTGAGGCCTCTGTATTGTGGCCCGTAGTCATAGTTTGTTTTTTGCTGTATGGTGTTCCATTGTGTGAGCATGCCACAGTTTACTTATCCATTCTGTTGTTGGTGAGATTCTGGATAGTTTCCAGTTTGGGGCTGTTGCAAATAGTGCTGGACATCAACATTTTTGTACATGTCTTTTGGTGCACATATTTACTCACTTCTGTTGGATAGGGGTGAAAGTTCTGGGTCATAGGGTATGTCTGTGTTTAGTTTTAGTAGATACTGCAAAATAGTTTTGCAAAGTGCTTTTACTAAGTGATACTCCCACCAGCACTGTGTAAGAGTTCTGGGTTGCCCCACATCTTTGTTAACTCTTGGATTTGTTGTCTTTTTTATATTAGCCATTCTGATGAATGTGTCTTGGTATCACATTGTAGTTTTAATGTGCAATTCTCTGATGAATATTTGAGTTGAGCATCTTTCCATGTGTTTATTGGCTACATGAACGGCCGCTTTTATGAAGTCCCTGTTCAAGTCTTTTGCCCATTTTTCTATTGGGTTGTCTGTCTTTCTCTTCTGTTTGGTAGGAATTCTTTATGTAATATGTCAGTTTATATATATATATGTATACATACATACACATGTTTGCAAATATGTTCTCCACTCTGGATTTTCTTTTAGTTTCTAAATGATGTCTTTTGACAAACAGAAGTTCATAATCTTCATGTATATATGTATTTTCAACTATAATATAATTGAATCTATCGTTTTTTCCCTTTATGGTATGCACTTTGTGTCATGCTCCAGAGATCTTTGTCTACTCCAAGGTCATAAAAATATTCTTAGTTTTTCTTCTAATGGCTTTATTGTTTTATTTTTGACCTTACATGTGCAGTCCATTAGCTATGAATTTTGTGTATGGTGTGAGTTAGGGATCGAGATTCATTTTGGATATTTGAGTGACCAAACATCATTGTTTAGAAGATCTCCTTTTCCCCCTGCTCTGCAGTGCCCCCTGTGCACTTTGACAGAGATTATAGGGAGTACAGGCATAGTATGCCTTTATCTTGTGAGACAGGAATTCTGACTCCTGTTCTCAATCTCAAGAGAAAGAAGTTATCTTTCTTCCTCTCAGTAAGTGGGAATTTTAATTGTGCTTTGGCTTCCAGGATACCAAGAGTTCGTGTTCTGGAGGATGAAGAGGGGTCGAAGGACATTGAACTGTCTGATGACCCTTATGACTGCATCCGGCTAAGTGTGGAGAATGTCCCCTGTATCGTCACTCTGTGCAAGGTATGAACTTATGTCTGATGGTCTTCCCTGTGGGTCTGCTTCAATCCCAACCCATTGAGGTTACTTAATAAGTTGAGAAGTTACAGTTTCACAAACCATATGGAAGTAGCTTTAACCCAAATTCAATAATTTGGTTATATTAGAAACCACTAGCATGATCAGCTCTTTCTTTTCTTTCTTTTTTTTCGGTGAGGAAGGTTGGCCCAGAGTTAACATCTGTTGCCACTCTTCCCTTTTTGCTTGAGGAAGACTGTCCCTGATCTCACATCTGTGCCAATCTTTGTCTGTTTTGTATGTGGGATGCTGCCACAGCATGGCTTGATGAGCAGTGTGTAGGTCTGCACCCAGGATCAAAACCTGTGAACCCCGGGCCGCCAAAGTGGACCATGCGAACTTAACCACTACACCACTGGGCTGGCTGGCCCCTCTTTCTTCTCTTTTTAATTGGAAGATATGATGGAGTCCTGGGAGCGCATGAGTAGGTTCGTAGAAGTAGTAGCCAGAGTTTGTTAAGCTCCTTTCTACATACCAGGCATTTCACTGAAACACCCTGGATGCATATTTCCTTTAATTCCCTCAACTGTATGGGGTCTAGGCTGGTTGAGTAGTGATAGGGTGGTTGAAAGGCAAACACTGTCCCCTCTGTGGGCCCACTATCCACATCTATGAAATGAGGGAGGTGGAGGAGGTCCTGGGTATCTAATATGTCAGGTGTGTTTTTCACATTAGCACAGAGGTCTGCAGAGCCTGACATCTGGCCAGCGCTAATGTGTAACTGGCACTGCCCAAGGCTGTGCAAAGAGGCCTGTATTAGCTGAGATTGTCGCTGACTCCACATAGGATTTCCTATATAAAAATAAGACTGAACAGGTCAGGTTTAATTCCGCTAAAATCACTTCATGAACCTTGGGTATGGTCAAGCGTTGGGACTGACCAAAGCTGCCTGCACTTGACTCATTCTTGAGCATGTCCCTTAGCATGGACCCTCTTGATTCATCTTTGTCATCGTGGAACATCCATGTGTCCTCCCATGTGAATTTCTCCCTGTGCCCTTCTGTTGGAAGCCCTTGGTAGCCTCTCACTTGGACGGTCCCTGAATTATAGTTCTAACCGCCCTCCCACACCCCGTATTTACATTGCTTCAGATATTTTCCATCTGAGCAGTATTTAAAATAAGATCTTAATGGCAATGCCGGTTCTTTGCTGGTGTAGATGTTCCCTTTAGAAGGCTCTCAAGGGTGGGGATCTGGGATGTGTCACTTACACATGCACTCTGCTTTCCTGACTTTGCAGATTGGCTATCGGCACGTGGTGGACGCTACTCTCCAGGAGGAGGCCTGCTCCTTGGCCAGCTTGCTGGTGTCTGTGACGAGTAAGGGAGTCGTGACGTGCATGAGGAAAGTGGGGAAGGGCAGCCTGGACCCAGAGAGCATCTTTGAGATGATGGAGGTGAGGCTCTGGTTCTGACGCACGTGTTGGGACCTGGCTGGAAATGCTTGCTGCTTCCTGTCCCCTTGGTCACACTGTGGGACTTCTCCCCATTTACACCCTTGAGCCCAGACTTGGAGCTTGGAGAACAGCTGGTGTGAGCTGGATGTCTGCTGACCAAGCCGAGGGTGGTGGCAGGGGTGCTGTAGGCTGTGAGGTAAGGAACCTGCCAGTAACAGGTGCTTATCTTCTTCCTCTCTGATCCCAAGTTTCGACATTTCTAAATGAGAGTGTTGGGCTGATAATGTGAAGAGTTGCATGTAACTCCAAAATCCCAAGCTTCTGTGATTCGATGAGGGAATCGAATTCCTGGCTGACTGCTTCCTGTCCCTTGAAGGAAGTGAGCACAGGTAGAGCCAGGGGGCTGAACGATGGCTGTCTCCCCGTTCTTGATGACTTTGGAAGTGTTGAAATGGAGATGAGTAGGCATGGTGGGAAATCCTCCTGGCAGCCGCAGGGCATGGATTGCTCCCTCTGGTCTCGTTGGCACATCTGGCAGCACCACTAGGGTGCTTTCCAGCTGCTCTGTACTGATTGGCTGACATGTCTGTTCTCCCTCACTGGCCTGGAAGCCCCTCCGTGGCAGGGACCGGGTCCTGCTCACCCATGTCTTCCCAAACCAAGCTTCCCCTGTGTCCACCTTGACTTTCCAGATGTCTTTGAGGACTTTGAGACTGACTAACTGACTGACTGACTGAATTGTCAGGGACAGAGTTAGCTGGACCCAGGTTTTTGTGTGTTAGTTAACCACTATGTCACAACACATGCCCAGAACTCATTGCTTAACAGCAAGCAAAGAGTTGCCATCTACACTCTTCCTTCATTCCTGGAAACTGACTTTTTGCTGAAGACTCTAAACACTTGATGTCTATTTTCTCTCTCTCTCTCTTTTCTTTCTTTCTTTCTTTCTTTTTTTTTTTTTTTGCTGAGGAAGAGTTGCCCTGAGCTAACAGCTGTTGCCAATCTTCCTCTTTTTTTTGTATGTGAGCCACCACAACAGCATGGCCACTGGCAGAAGAGTGATGTAGGTCCGTGCCCCAGAACCAAACCCAGGCCACTGAAGCAGAACATGCTGAACTTGACCACCAGGCCAGCAGAGCTGGCCCTTTTTTCTCTTTTTATCATCTTATTTGAAAGCAAAAATGGGCAGTGTATGTAGTGTTGAGGACCCAAGCATGGGCTCTGAAGACGTACCGCCCAGGTTGCAAATCCTGGCTCTGGGCCACAGTTCACTCCTCTGCAAAATGGGCATGATGATGGTAGTAGTAGCTGCTGCTGAGTGTGCTGTGGGGACAGAGGTCAGGCACGTGACAAGAGTGTCCGATACATCCTAAGTTCTTGGTAAACATTGTTCTTATTCTATGTATTCCTTTTAGCACTGAGTTCACGTGTCCAGTTGTGCACGGCAACCGTGTTCTTCCTGGTGGGTTGGTTAATTGGTTAATCTTTTTAAACGAAAGCATTTAAAATGCTTTGTAAGTGCTCCCAAGGCCTCTCTGGACAAGTGGCTCTCAAATCTTGTTTTAGAAGGGACTCTTCCCCCACCTCCCCGGGAGAATTTGATGAGAATTCCAGTATCTAAACAACAAACCAATAAACAAATAATAACTAAATTTATTGTGTGCTTATTATGTGTTAGACCTTGTTTTTAGTGCTTTAAATATGTGATATCGTTTAATCCTCAACCATCCTGTGAGGTAATTCTTGTTACCATCCTTATTTTTACAGACGAGGAAATTGAGGCGCATAGAGGATAAGTCTCTTGCCTGCGTCTCACAGCTCACAAATGCTGGCGCTGTGATTCACACCAGACTTGTGCCTCACGGTCGCCCCTCTCCACCGCTGACCTATGCTAACCTTCTAAGCCAGGTGGTTCTGGCTGCTGTGGAGGGAGGGGAGAACCAGAGCTCTGTCCCGTGAGCTGAGCTTCATCCTCCCCTGGGGCTTGGCACGAGCTCTGCAGACCCGGCGCAGGGGGCCACAGCCCTGTGGCTGTGACTCGGTGTTTGCCTTGCGCAGGGAGGCAGCAGTCCCGAAACCTCTCATGGGGAGGCCTAGACCCTCGTGGTGGTTGTCCGGGCTGCCACCCCGGCCTCTGCAGTCTCTTTCCTGCAAGTCTAGGTCAGACCTCTCAAGTCCTGGTGTCCGGTCTGTCTCATCTCCTCTTATTGTCTCTCCTTGCCTTCTTTTTAATGAATAATCAGAACCCCCATTTGATCAACTTGACATTTTTTCTTTTTCTAATGTTGTGATTGAAAAAAAAAAAACTTTGGACCGTAACCCTGACTTTGCATTTCATAGAGCTGATCACTTCCCAGCCTTCAGACTGAGATCTTCTTTCATACAAGTTTTTGGTAATACTTGGAGCCTCTTCCATGTTAGTTAGGGGTCAGGGGAGAGGCGTCCAGCTCTGGGGAGAATACAGCTATAACTGAGAGGATTAGGGCGGCCATCTAGGCCTGGCTGTCTTTCTCCCTGGCGGTGTTGAGAATGGAACCCATGGCACGGTGGAATTAAAACTGCTGTGGGAACATGGAAGACTTTGAGGTGGAGACTTGTGGTGGAGACTTCTTAAAGTGATTCATGAGCCCAGAGACGGAGTAACAGTTTCATAAAGAAAGATGTTTATATATTAGGGGTTTTTTGAGGGGCCCCCTTGTGTCTGCTGTTTAGGGGCCAATTAGAAATTCTGTGGGTTGTCCAACCTCTTGACCTTCCAACATTTCATGCCTTTAGCATCTCTCTGTATGGCAGTGACACCAAAGACCCTATTCAGGTATTGACTTTGGTCTCCTTTGAGCAGTTCTGCTTAGAGATTTGGTGGCAGGTGAATTAGAAACTGCTTGTTCAAACATGTCCTCAGCCCCGTCGGTTCCTTTATCAGATAGACTCTGGATTCTCTGCGGTCTCCCTATGCCTTCTCACTACAGTGCAGTGGGACTTGGCTGTGCCCAAGTCCAGGTTTGGTTGACAGTTTTGCTGCTTGTTGTAATGGCAGCAGGAATGCTAAGCTTGAGTTAATGGCCGAGGCAGCCTTTGCTGCTTCCTGCTTGCTGCCTGGGGGTCGGCATATTTTTTTCATTTTTTTTTTTTTGCCCCAAGTGTGGAGGTTTTTCCAGAATGAAACTACAATGCTGTTGGGGTTTGGAGTTTGCTTTTGTATTAATTTGATTAAGTAAATAAAAGTCCTGTAAGGCAGATGGAATGTGTAGTTTTGGAGTGGCCAGCTGGCAGAGAGGGAAGCTTTTCCCGGTCAAAGTGTGTGTGCCTGACACGTGGCATGTGCTCTTCCGTCCCTTCTCTGCCCTGCAGACCGGCAAGCGCGTGGGCAAGGTGCTGCACACCTCCCTGCAGAACATCCTCCACAAGGAAGAGAGCCTGGGGACCAAGAGGCAGAAAGTCGGATTCCTGGGATGATTGCACCTCAGCCCCCAGCTGTGGAGCGTTTGTTTCTACTTTTCCTTTTAAGCCAAAGTTTGTATATATTTTTCTTAACTGTGATGAATGTAAGGCAACATTTATACATGTAAAATTAAATTCTACTTTCTGGTCTGGTTTGGTATAGCCAGAGTTCTTCAGCTGTAAGTCAAGACTCCGTTCAGTGACCCCTGGGAGAGTCTGGTCCTTGTCTAGTGAGTGGCAGCCAGGTCCAGAGATCTGCTCCAAGGAGAGGGCTCTGGTCATGGGCCTCCCCAGGGAGACTCGTTCATCTCCTGCTGCAGGAGTTCAAAACAACAACAACAGACACACTGTAAGAAGGACCTACCAGAAAAATGGTTTAAAGGAAATGCTTATGATATGTTTTTTGTGAAATTTTTTTCCCCTGTAGAGCTTTCACAATAAGAATCACACACACAGAGAAAAAGGTTAATTGGCGTTGTGTAGTGAGTGCTTCTGGGTGAGGAGAAAGGAGGATGCACTGTGCCCCAAGTACAGCCCCAGGGCTTCTCCCTGGCTGGTGAGTCTTGCTGAGTCCTGGGGAGCCCAGTCCTTGCTTCCTGCCCTCCAGGAGATCCAGGCTGAGCTCCCTCTGGTCAGGGGCTTAGCGGCCACTTTGGTACTTAGCCAACCTTTCTTAGCACTCTTGTTTTGAAATTGATTTGTAACCTCTCCCTGGTGTTTCATAAGATTTCCTTGTTTTATCAGCATTAAGAAGGCTGTCTTAGAGATGTTGTCATTTGATTACTCAACTTGCCTTTGTACCCAGGATAGGAGGGAAGGCCATTTTCAGTGGCCCCAGAAGGCTCTTCCTATAAGCCTGTATTCTCACAGTGCAGTGTGTTGGAATTAAGTCTGTTCATTGGTTGAGCAGTCTTTGTTTTTTTTCCAGGGGAACTGGAACTCCCCAGTCAGTCTTAAAGAGCCCTGGGGAAGGAGCTGATTCATGAAGGAGAATATTTCAGCTGAGGCATTTGCTCTCTGCATTTCAGTTAGACAAATAGGGTAAGGAGTTAGGAATTTATTACCTAACGGAAAGAACATAATGTGAGCTGAAGCCCTTGCAGACTGGTTCCAGAGGCCTTGGCGTGGGCACCTCCTGCCAGTATGGCCAGGTCCATCCCTGTGGAGAGAAGCAGCTGCCTAGACTGGGACTTGAAGCTGCTGCCCTGTTGAGAAAATAGCCTGGCTTTTTGTTTTTCCTTTTATGATTTTCCAGTGATTCTCCCTACAGGTGGCATGACAGTGCTCCTGTTTGACAGCAGTCAGCCTGTTCCGCCTTCCCTGCTCCTGGTTGACGGCCTGTGGTGGGACATTGACAGTGGGGTGCAAAGATACAACTAGAGTTGGAATAAAGTTTAGAAGGCTTTGGTTTTGATGATTAAAGACATGAGATAGATGAGACAGACAGATAGACAGATGAGGATTTGCCAGGCCACTTGTACAGCAACTACACAACTGGGCTGGTTGGATAAGCAGTTACAGTGAAAATGAAAGCGAGAAATAGATGTTAGCATCTGTCTCTACCACCCTATACCTTTCCTTGAAGGCCACCCCTACCTGTAAGTAGTATATGTCACAAACGAAACAAAACACCAAATGAGCAAGGTCTCTCCACAGATCCAGGAAGCTCAGAAAACACCAAGCAGGATAAATGCCAAAAAAAACTATACCAGGGCATATCATTATCAACCTACAGAAAATCAAAGATAAAGAAAAAATCCTAAAAGAAGCCAGAGGGGGAAAAACATCTTACCTATAGAGGAACACAGATAAGAATTGCGTCCAGCTTCTCCTCAGAAACCATGGAAGCAAGAAGAGAGTGGAGTGAAATATTTAAAGTGTTGAGAGAAAAACCCACCAAGCTACAATTTTGTACCCTGCAAAATTATCCTTCAAAAGTGAAGGAGAAATAAAGACTTTTTCAGACAAACAAAAATTGAGGGAATTTGTTGCCAGTAGACCTGCCTCACAAGAAATGTTAAAAGAAGTTCTTTAGAGAGAAGGAAAATGATAGAGGTCAGAATCTTCATAAAGAAAGGATCTATATAAAGAAAAGGAAGAGCATTGGAAAAGGAATAAGTGAAAGTAAAATAAAAACTTTTGTTTTTTTTATTCTTAAGTGATCTAACAGATCAGTTATTTTTTTAAAATAATAGCAACAATGTATTCAATTCTGTATACTTGTGTCTTTATACGTGCTTATGTGTAAGTGAAGTGAATGCCACCAGTGATAGAAGGGATGGGAGGGAAGAGTTAGGATTATTGTGTTATTATAAGGTATTCACACTGTATGTAAAGTGGTATAGTGTTGTATAGTTATTTGAAAGTGGATGTGGATTAGTTGTAAATGTATATTGCAAACTCTAGGGCAACCACTAAAGAAAGGGAAAGAGGTATGCTAAGAAAGGAGAGAAAATGGAATCAAAATGTTCAACTAAAACCACATAAGGCAGAAAATAGAGTGGAAGACAAAAATAGAAACAAAGAATAGGGCAACAAATAGAAAAAGTAACAAATAGGGTAGATATTAATCCAGCGAAATCAATAATCATTGTATTAGAGTTCTCCAGAGAAACAGAACCAACAGTATTGGTATGTAGGAAGAGATTTATTATAAGGAATTGGCTCACACGATTATGGAGGCTGAGAAGTCCCACTCTGCTGTCTGCAAGTTGGAGACCTAGGAAAGCTGGTGATACAATTCAGTCAGAGTCCAGAGGCCTGAGAACCAGGGGAGCTGGTGGTGTAGATTCCAGGCTGGGTCTGAAGGCCTGAGAACCAGGGGCACCAGGGACACGAGAAAATTGCTGTCCTGGCTTATGCAGTCAGGAAGGAAGGGCTGGATTCCTCTTCACCTTTTTATCCTATTCAGGCCCTCAACGGATTGGATGATGTCCACCCACATTGGAGACGGCACTTGTGTTACTGAGTCCACTAATTCAAATGCTAATTTCATCAGGACGCATCCTCACAGACACACTGAGAAGTAATGTTTAGCCAGATATCTGGGCACCCTGTGATATAGTCAAGTTGACACATAAAATTAATCATCACATTCACTTTGAACATCAGTGGTCTAAATGCACCAATTGAAAGACATTGTCAGGGTGGATCACTTTCTCACCTATATGCTGTCGATAAGAAACTCACTTTAAATATGACACATACTAGATTAAAGTAGATGAAGGGAGAAAGATAAACCATGGTGACATTAATCAAAAGGAAGCTGGAGTAGCAATACTAATTTCGGAGCAGACTTCAGAGCAAGGAGAGTTATCAGGAATAAAGAGGAGCGTTGCATAATAATAAAGGGGTGAGTTCTCCAGGAAGACATAAAAAGTGTAATGTGTATGTGCCTAACATCAGAGCATCAAAATACACGAGGTAAAAACTGATAGAACTGCAAGGAGAGAGACATGAATCCACTGTCACAGTTGGAGACTCTGACACACTCTATCAGAAATGGACAGATCAAGCAGGCAGAAAATCAGTAAAGACATATTTGGACTTAGTACCATCAATCAACTGTACGTGACAGACATCTATAGACAACTTCATCCAACATCAGCAGATTACACATTCTTCTCAAGCTCTCACGGAACATTCACCATGATAGACCACATTCTGGGCCATAGGACACACCTTAGCAAATTTTAGAGAATAGAATTCATACAGTGGTCTGCTCTCAGACCGCAATGAAATTAAACTAGAAATCAGTTCCAGAAAGATAGCTGGAAAGTCTCAAAATACTTCAGACAACACATTTCTAAATAACACATGGGTCAAAGAAATCTCAAGTGAAATGAAAAACTATTTTGAACTAAATTAAGATGAAAACACAACTTACCAAAATTTGTGGAATGTACAAAAAGCAGTGCTTAGAAGGAAGTTTACAGCATTGAAGGCATATATTGGAAAAGAAGAAAGATCCAAAATCAATTATCTAAGCCTCCACCTTAGGAAACTAGAAAAAGAAGAGCAAATTAAATCCAAAGTAAGCAGAAGAATAAAGAAAGCAATGAAATTGAAAACAGGAAATCCATAGAGAAAACTAATGAAACCAAAAGCTAGTTCTTTGAAAAATTCCAGAGAAGGAAGAGATCTTAAGGAGTGAGCAGTCTGTTACCAGCCATTTTCTTCCCCAGGGGGGCATTTGCAGATTCTGGACACGGGCTAAGGGTCACACTTGGTGCACATAGAGGGACTCTATGGAGGGAAAAGAAAAGCCAGCAAAACTGGTGAGGTTGTATAGGGCTAGTGTGATAATTTGGAAACTTCAGGATCTCTAAGTGCACAGCTGAGTTTTTCTCAAATTCTAAAGCTATATGGGGGAGGGGTGGCAGAGAGTGTCAGTAAGGTGGATTGAAATCTCCTGAGCATCCTATAGAGCTAATCAGATTTTCTCTTGTGTGAGATATAGCTGAAGACATCAGGTAAGTGCAAAACTGGGCTGAGCATGCCCAGTTTATTCTTCCCACATTTACAAATCAGGTAATTTACTGTCTTGCCCCTGGAGTGGAAGGAATAAAGGGGGTGGACAGAGGCCAGCGAGCCCTGAGGGCCGTGTGGCTTCTCAGACCAGTCCTCCTCCTCCCCATACCTTCGCAGATTGCCCAGCTGCCTCACACATGGGATCTCTGTGTGCTCCTTGCAAGAATCCCATTGTTTAGGTAGAGTAGAGATTATTGCCCCATTTTATGGAAGATGAATCTGGGTCTTGAATAACTTGCCCCGAAGGACACAAAATCAGTTGTCTGAACCAGATTTGGAACCCAGTTCTCCCAGTTCTCTTTCTTTCTTTCTTTCTTTTTTAAAGATTTTATTTTTCCTTTTTCTCCCCAAAGCCCCCCAGTACATAGTTGTGTATTTTTTTTTTTAAGTTGTGGGTCCTTCTAGTTGTGGTATGTGGGACGCCGCCTCAGCATGGCCTGACGAACAGTGCTATGTCTGCGCCCAGGATCCGAACCAGCAAAATCCTGGGCCACCAAAGCGGAATGTACGAACTTAACCACTTGGCCAAGGGGGCAGCCCCCAGTTCTCTTTCGACTAGGACACTGGTGACCTTTAGGAACAAAACAACAAGAAATTTGGGCCCCACAAGATCCAAGAACTTGGCCAAGTGGTGTATTGCCTCCCC